TTAGCCATGAAAGCCAGCTAGGTAACCTAGCCGGTCACTCTCTCTCAGCCCAACTCACTTCATAAGGTTGTTGTTGTGGGGAGATAGGTGTTGTGGCCTGCCAGCTGCCAGCAAAGCTGGCGGCAAATTCGGATGATGAGGAAGGCTGGGGAGGAACTTAGGCCAGTTCTGGAGTCTGGGGAAGGCTCTGATGGATGCTCTGTGTCGGACACAGAGATAAGAGTCAGGGCCAACCGACATTTCCCAGCCACCGGAGAGGCAGCTGCCTTTGGAGGCTGATATGTGAGGAGGAAGAACAGCTTGGGCCTGTTCCAGATGCACTTATGCGCAGAGCAGTTAGGAGAGGGGAACAATGGAGGACAAGGAGTCAACTCGGGAAGCAAAGTACACGTGGACGCTGAATGGCCTCTCCCTGGCTGGGGAATAAATAGAAAGAAAGGGGAATAGTTGTCATAGGAGACAATAGTTCGTATTTCTGAAGATTTTGGTCATTGTGTTTCATGCCACAAAGACTGCTTGCCAGAACTTAATTTGCAGCCTTTCAGCTGGGAGCTCACGGCCTTGCAATTATCACGAGGAACTGATAAGGTCCGTTACTGCAGTTAACGCTTTGAAGGACTATTGCCTGGACTTTTCGATGGGTGAATGCAATTAATTCACAAGAGGTAAATAAAGAGGGGTTTTTCATGACAAGGAATCTGTTTCTTGCTTCTGCTAAGGCTGGGTCAGAACAATAGGAAGAGGAAGGTGTGGTGGATATGTTCACCACCTTGAGTTATTTATAAAAATAATAAAGGCTGGATATCATAAATAAATAAAAAATCTCTCTCCATGAGCCTTTTTTTCTTCCTGCGTTCATCCAGAGATTTCCTTTCTTCAGAGCTAGCTCCATGTAAAACAAATAAAGGAATAATAAATAAGCTAACTATCTCTGAAGGTAATTTTGCTAGTTCAGACAAGATCGTGAGGCAATCTCAATCTCTTGATTCTAAATCTTCTGATTCTGCTCCAATTTCCTTTCTCGCCTAACACATAAATAATATGATGATTCTTCAGTTTCTCACATGGAAGAAAATCATTCACAGATTTTCCCAGGGCGTTTTCTGGAAAGTAATATGAGAAAACATTTGATGGCTTGTTAAAAAAATATCATCAGCCCAACCTTGTGCATAGCTTCCAAAAGGTATGTTTCAGTGTTACCTCCAGTTAAGTGCCCGTAAGGTTCCTTGTTCACTGCTTCCTTGGCATGTTGGTTGTGGATGGGAAAAGGAAGGCAGATTGCAGAACCACTAATAGCCTAAGAAAATGTTCTCTAGTTAAAGTAGACATCAGTTCAGTCTCAACTCTTTGAGAGTTCAGTCAGTAACAGCCTAATAAAAACATGACAAAGGCTCCACCTGCTGTGTTTCTGAAGATCACCAGCTTGCTAATAAGAGTATTAGAGCAGGTTAAAAATGTGTCTATGGCTAGTAAATAATAGAAGCACATTCATTCAGGTAGCCTTGAAACAGAGGGACTATTTGCGCCTCAGGAAAGATAAAAATCATCCTTGTTGGGTTAATTAATTAATGTCCTCTATACTGCAAAATTCACTTTATCTTAATCCAGTCCTTTTCATAACCGAAACGGGAGAGTATGCATGGGAAAAAAAGGAGATGTTCACCACAGATGCATGGATTCATGGAAAAAATACCATTTCCCCCAAAATAAGACATCCCCTGATAATAAGCCCAATCGGGCTTTTGAGCGCATGGCAATAAGGCCAAGCGCTTATTTCAGGGTTCAAAATAATATAAGACAGGGTCTTATTTTTGGGAAAACACCGTAACAGATGCAAACAGGTACAAAGTAACAATATACATCAGCAGTCTCCAAACTTTCCGGCTTAGCAAACTGCTGGGAGGGGAGAGGCGATGGTTCCGTGAGTGGCAGGCACGTGCGACTGCCTGCAGCTCCACTTGCACAAGTGGCGGGCACACACACCTGCCACTCACGCAAATGGAGCTTCATGCACGAGCATGTGCGCTTGCCGTTCACACAAGTGGAGCTGCATGCATGAACTTGCCCACCCTTTGTACGGCCTGGTTCTGAACGGGTCGTGGTTCAGTTCCGAAAGAGCTGTGGCCCGTGGGTTGGGGACCCCTGGTATACGAGGAATTGTGCAGGGGTGCACAAAGCATACCAGACTGAACAGTTTGAGTGCAGCAGTATTATTCTGAATACAGAACAAAATGTTCTGTTTCACTGATAAGCCTACAATTAAGGTCTGTAACGTCAATTTAGTGTTCTATATGAATCAGTCCAATTTCATTTTGGCAAACCATGGTTAACCTTCCCTCCGCCATGTTATAATACACTATCCGAAGCCAGGCTCAGAATAATTATTCTCAGCTGGTCTTCTAAAGTGAAAGAGGAAAGACAGAACAATTAACAGAGGTGACCTTCTGACGAAGCAATCTTCTGACAAGGAGGAATGATGACCCTGCTGTATGATCCAATCCCATTCAATTGAGAGATTTAGCAGAATTACTGCCAGCAGAAGCTGAGGAGAGGCAAAAGGGATGCATTTGTTAAGAGGAGATATTCTAGTTGGCAATTCAATGGCATTTAATACACATGTGAATCATACGTGATTCATGATTGTCATAAAAACATATGTTCTACTTTGTGGAGGACATGGCATAATGGAATGTAGTGAGGAGGTGGCTCTCCAGGAGGGAGGGGGCACATTCCAGAGGAATAAGTGGCAATATAGCTCAGTTATTTATGTGTGAAAGAACCAGGGTGAACACAGCCCCTGTAGTTCACAGAGTATATTGTAGATGCAATTAGTAAAATCCTCAGTCTGGCAAGATTTTGTCTAGTGTGAAACAATAAAGAACTCAATCTCGAAGAAATACCATTCTTAGTTTTGGCTTTGATACGTGGCCAGTAAAATGAACTGAATATGAAATGTGGTTAAAGCATTGAATTGGAAAGATGGTTCTAGCGGACATCTTTTATTATATGCAGGCTACATCTGGTCTGCAAAAATCCAAAGCATCACTACCCATAGGTGGTAGGAAACATAAAATATCTCTATCTCTTTGCTGCCATCTATTGGTCCTCTGGAATTCTGCAGCCTGGATAAACTATTCCTATTATTGTTCTGCAAATTGGATACCATATTTTCCGGCGTATAAGACGACTGGGCGTATAAGACGACCCCCAACTTTTCCTGTTAAAATATAGGGTTTGGGCTATACTCGCCATATAAGACTGCCCCTCTTCCAATGCACACCAAATAAAAATTAAAAAACATCAACTGGCTCACCTACAATGTAAAAGCAGCTGTGCTAGACCCAAGATGGCCCCTGTAACAAGCAGGAACCTCACACAGCCACAAAAAGCCCCCCCAAAAAACTTTCACACTCTAAACACACACAACACAACACAACTGGCTCACCCACAATGTAAAAGCAGCTGTGCTAGACCCAAAATGGCCCCTGCAACAAGCAGGAACCTCACACAGCCACAAAAAGTCCAAAAACCCAACTTTCACACTTTACACACACAAAATTCCACATACAGCTTTGTGAGATTTTGTGTGTTTGTGTAGTTGGAGTGAAACACTACAGAAACACACTAAATCTCAGAAAGCTGCACAAATATTATTTTATTTTATTTTATTTTAATTTTTATATGAAAGCTAAATTTAAAACTTCCTAAACTTTAAATGGCTAGGTCTAAAAAAGAACAACTAAAAAAACCCCAATTGACTATTTTTTTTAAAGCTCCCAAAGAGGAAAAAAACTTACCCAATAGAACAGGGGTCTCCAACTTTGGCAACTTTAAGACTTGTAGACTTCAACTCCCAGAATTCCTCAGCCAGCTTTGCTTTGCTGGCTGAGGAATTCTGGGAGTTGAAGTCCACAACTAACTCCTTGCTTGATTGCAGGCAGGGAGTTGCTTGCTTGCCTGAATAGATTCAGGCAAGCAAAGCAAGGCAAGCGTTGCGACTAGCAGCTGAGGTAAGCAAGCTGGAGGGGGAAAACTTTTTCCCTTTTACATGGCTCTGGCGATCCCAGCTGAGTTGCAGGGAACTCAGCTGGGATTGTCAGAGCTGGGATCGCCAGAGCTGGGATCGCCAGAGCCATTTAAGGCTCGTCAGAGCCTTTCGGGCTGGTCTGCCTGGTTACAGGAGAACTACACCCGGCGTATAAGACGACCCCCGACTTTTGAGAAGATTTTCATGTGTTAAAAAGTCGTCTTATACGCCGGAAAATACGGTACTTATTCAAAGGCTACGCTAGGTACCCATGAAATAGAAGAATGGGTACAACATTAAGCTCAGAACAGTCAAGTGAAATATGCTGTAATAGTTTTAAACCAAGAATCTCTAGATAACTATATTTAATAGGTTTAACAATAATCTATAATAGCAAAAGCACTTATACATATCGCTTCACAGTGCTTTACAGCCCCCTCTAAGCAATTTACAGAGTCAGCATATTGCCCCCAACAATCTGGGTCTTTATTTTACCAATCTCGGAAGGATGGAAGGCTGAGTTAACCTTGAGCCTGTTGAGATTCAAACTGCCGGCAACCGGCAGCCGAAGTAGCCTGCAGTACTGCATTTTAACCACCACGCCTCATAATAAGGCACCATAACTCAATGTTTGAAGTAATATTCTTTGTCACAGGTTTCACTATTGTTTTTTGTTTGGCATCACAATTATATTATGCTAGTTTTAAAAAATGAATGGGATATCTGATATTGGTGAACTAATTTTCAGCATTCCCTTGAATTGGCTATGCTGGCTGCTGGGTTTCTGGTATTCATTCAACATCAACATCCAAAATGCCACAGTCCCCCATATTTATTCTCAAACCAGGGGATTCAAACTTTTTAAAAATGAAAACAATGCTGTCAAATGTATCTCTATATGAAACCACTTTGTTATTATTCCTATAAAACTGGGCAGAGAGTGATAGGTTTTTTTTATAAATCAACAAACATAATGCAGAATGTTTTGAGTTTTATTTTCAAAGAAAATGACACCAGTGGCAATGGATTTATACCACTGACAGCTGTTAAAATACTGCTGCCCCTTAAACATCTGAGCCATGAATTGTTGTTTGTAGTTTTTAATCAGAATAAAACCAATTTGATAAAGTTCAGTGATTCCATTAATAGTTCAGAAAGTTAATTAATAATGTTTTGGAGATGGTAGTGCCCTGTCATTGAACTTGATTTCAACTTTTAAAAACAATTGAGTAATGAATGTAAATTATTGATCTTTGGTGTCAACTCAGTTTGTAAGTATCCTTACAATGCTTCATCCGTAGTGAAGCAAATTGAACTCAAATCAAGAACAGTTACAGAAGTATTCTCTTGATCACAGAAAGGTCACTCTTACTCATAAACTTGCACAATGAAGAAAGAACAATCACATTTCCCGAAAGAGAAGGAGAAATCTGTTAGTCTGTTACCTAGGCAACAGGACTCTACTGAAGCTCCCTACCATGTAGCCAAACAGGCAAGACTGGCTGACAAACAGAATCCAAGAAGTAACATGTGGAGCACTATGCCACAGATCCAGATAGAGATGAGAGTGATAAAAACCGTGTTATTTATAAGTGTGGTTTTCCTCTGAAAACAACTCCCCCCACCCCACCCCTTCCCAAATGTAGTGTCAATGCTGCAGAGGGACAGGATGAGAAGGAATATATTTGCTAGCAAGACTTCATTAACTCTTCCTCTTAGTACAAGATTATCTTTCATGCAGACAATTCACTGAAATTGAATGAAGAGTTTTCATCACAAACAGGCTACTGTTTGGCCTTCTAGGTGTTGCTTAACTCCAATTCCCATCATCCTTCACATCAGCATGAAAAGAGAAATTTTAAGAGGTGAGGTCCAATGTCTGCAGGACCATCCACTGCACATCCCTGGCTTAAATGAACAAGACTATGTAAACTCCTCCCACACATTATTTACCCATGTATCTATCCAAATAATTGATCATGGAACAAGAAAGGAATTATTTACATGTTGGGGTCACTATGCAAGTACAAAATATACAATTGTATGTTGCATCAATTTCTCTGGATTTCTTTTAAAAAACACGTTTGTGAAATTGTTTTCATTTCTCCACATGAAATATTCTTAGTGGGAGCTTCTGATTCTGCAGGAGTACACAAGAGCAAGTCAATCTGGTAACAATTTAGCCTGTCACGGTGCTCTGTTGATATGCATCAGAATGGACTCTGCTCCAAAATAGTGACTCACTAAAACAAGAAAAACTTTTAAAAATGATCACCAGAATTTATTTGCCCTTTTTCATTTTTGCTACCTTCTCTTTTCGCTTCTTTACGTGCTTTGGAATCTTGTGTTTTCTCTTCTCCCTTTGAGATTCTTTGACTATTTTCTTCCTTTCCTGGAAAAGTAGACCCAAGTAAGAAACATCAATTAATCAACTTTTTTCTGTTTTAAAGAACAAAAGAACAGCAAGGACGTTTCTATAGCGATGAACACGGCACTCAGAGCAGCCTCCCCTTCACGCAAAAATATTTTCTCCAACTGAAGAAAGCTGTTCCACTAACCTTTTTGTCAACACCTGTTTCAGCAGGTTGGTCTTTAAGAAGCCCCGAGTCTTCCTGTTCCTTACAACATGAGTCTGAATTGTCAGAGCTATCATCCTCATCCTCATCATTAGAATCTGCCTCATCGTTATTATTTTCAAGGAGTGCAGGAACCTACAACAAACCAAAAGATTCGTTTTTTTTTCTTCAATCTTGCCCTCCATCAGAAATTCTTTGGATATGTGAAGGTCAGCCTTAACAATGTTCTCCGAGAGCTGAATACTACTGGAAGCCAATGTCCAAGACATACAAAGAATTCCAAAAGGTTGCTCTAAGTTGGATTTTAAGAATGCAAGGACTGTCAAAGGAGAATCTGTATCAGTGTGGGCAAAGCTTTTTGACACCAAGTGCTCAAACCCGAACGTGCATGCGCCTGAGCCCCGGAAACTCAAAGATCAGCTGGCCAGCACATGTGCGTGCGCCGAAAACCAGAAGAGCAGCTGGCGATGGCGCGCATGCCCACAGAGAGGGCTCTGTGTGCCACCTCTGGCACGCGTGCCACATGTTGGCCATCACGGATCTATATGTTTGAACCATTAACATAGCTGTAGACAGGTGACCAGCAAGGATATTCCAAAAACATAGTTAAAGAATTAAAAATAGCTAGTCATAAGTCTAGATTTACAAACACTGATTATATTTGCACATCATTTTAAGTCACACTAAGGTTGGGCTTAGCACGATCCTGAATCTAAACTCTAGTCAGGAGAGGTTTAACTGTAATCAGAATACAGGTAATCCTCGATTTACAACAGTTTGTTTAGTGACCATTCGAAGTTACAATGGCACTGGGAAAAGTGACTTATGACCATTTTTCATCTTTATAACCGTTGTAGCATCCCCGTGGTGACATGATCAAAACTGAGACACTTGGCAACTGACTCATATTTATGACGGTTGCACTGTCCTGGGGTCATGAGATCTCCTTTTGTGACTTCCTGACACAAGTCAACAGAGAAGCCAGATTCACGCAAGAATCCTGTTACTAACTTAACCACTGCAGTGATTCGCTGAAAGGTTGTAAAATGGGACAAAAAGTACTTCACAAATGTTTCACATAGCAACAGAAATTTTGGGCCCAATTGTGATCGTAAGCCGAGGACTACCTTTATTACTGAAAAACACAGCCCTGAAATATCACCATCTTACCTTTTGAATACCAGATAAATCCTTCTTTAATCCTGTCACTGTCTGGTAGAGAATCTGCACAAAACAAAGAACAATAGCAAAACAATCTGAATGTGGATTTTTCAAATCTTTGGTCGATGATCATAATAAAGATCTGACTTGTATACAGCATTACACTATATTACATTCTAGTGAGACGGAAAGCACCAATTACTTCACCAAAAAAGTATTTGTTGCTGTTACTATTCAACATGCTTCTGGGGTTGCAGCCATTGCATTCTGAGCTTCTGTCCAAAAAACCCTCAAATTATTACTCTAATATTTTTTTAGACCAAACGATTCCTTAAAAAATGAGAAATGAGAAGAGATTAATTTAAAACTCTTAATAGCAAATTTGTTGTTTCCATTGTCAGTATTAAAGTGACTCCAGTGGGGTGTTCAGAGGATCTCTACCAGAGGTGAAATTCAAAATTTTTTACTACTGGTTCTGTGGGCGTGGCTTGATGGGCATGGTGTTGCTTGGTGGGCGTAACAGGGGAAGGATATTGTAAAATCTCCATTTCCACCCCACTCCAGGGGAAGGACGCTGCAAAATTCCCATTCTGGGACCAGCCAGAGGTGGTATTTGCCGGTTCTCCGAACTACTCAAAATTTCCACTACCGGTTCTCTGAAAATTTCCACTATTGGTTCTCTGAACTATTCAAAATTTCCGCTACCGGTTCTCCAGAACATGTCAGAACCTGCTGGATTTCACCCCTAATCTCTATCCAAGAAGAAAAGATAATTGTTACAACTCTTCCTCATCCCACAGCTTTGTATGTCTCATGAAAATCTCTACAACACTGGGACCCTTTGGGGCAACAAGAGAAACAAATACAGGGAATACAGGGAGAAAGGAGACTTTTCCTCCAGAAGGAAGCACCTTTTTAACACGTATATCCTACAAAATCCAGTATAAACATCTGCCTGCCTCTATGGCCAACCATAATAATTTCTTTGCTGCCTGATTCCCAACAACTCGGAGCATAACCCTTATGTTCAAGCCAGTCTGAATCCAACCCAATATGTAATGTGATACACTAATCAATTCCACACACATAAATAAGCATATTTCTTTAGATGTTCCACTCAATCCAGTATTGCTTACATTATCTTGCTGCACACTGAGGACTGAATCGTCTTCCTTCAGCTTCATCATTATGTCCACATCTCTCTCATAGTTCTTAACTTCTGTCAGAGTCCTAGGGATATAAGCTTTCCGGAACACCTAGAAGACGAATTAAGCATAATCTGATAAATCACTTGTTATATTTTCTCTAGTTATTATTGATCAGCTAAGAGAGGAGGAGATAAGAGGTCTTTCACTCATATGCTTGCCAGGATGGACTAAAGTGTAATTCAGATTCATTTTTGAAAAAGCAGAAACATGTTTAAGAACTGAAGAAGCTTCTTGGATGAGAAGCGAAAACATCTTCAAAGAAAAAAAAAAACAAGAAAGTCCAGTTGCCTTTTGAAAAGTACCTTTGGGACATATTTAAATGGCTTTTTTTTTCTGAAATCATTTTGTAAGTGTAGTTGGAACCATTCCAATATGGAAAGCAACATCCTGTATTAACCATATTACACTCTTTCATTTAATCATGGCTTAGGGCCCGGTTATTTACGAGACCACCTTCTGCCTCCGATAACCTCCCACCGGCCAACACGCTCCCACAGAGAGGGCCTCCTCAGGGTGCCATCTGTCAGGCAATGTCGGCTGGCGACCCCCTGGGGAAGAGCCTTCTCTGTGGGGGCACCCGCCCTCTGGAATGAGCTACCCCCAGGGATACGACTGATCCCGGACCTCCGGACCTTCCGCCGGGCCCTGAAGACTTTTTTATTTCAGCAAGCTGGGCTGGGTTAAAAATCTTTTAATTGGGGAATTTTATGGATAAAATAAATTTAATTTCGTTTTAATGTATTTTAATATTTGTATTGTGTGTTTTTAATTTTGGCTGTTCACCGCCCCGAGTCCTTCGGGAGAGGGGGCGGTATAAAAATTTAAAAAATAAGATAAATAAATAAATAAAATGTTAACTCTATTGCAAATTAAAGGTATTTGCTTAGAACTAAAAAAAGACCACAAAAATTATGGCGATCAAGAAGAGACTTAAATAAAATATACTTCCAGGATGGAATCTTTATTGCACTTTATTAATTATTTAAACATAAAATTTATAATGGTGGAATAAATTACTGCAATTATTCGAAGGCTATAAAAATACAGACTCTGTTAAAACCTTTGATGAATCATTTGAAAATAAACATATTCCTGAATATTATCAAAATACAGAGGAATAGTTCAGGTTCTTTCAGAAGAGACATGATGTATTTATTTAGGCCACTGGCTTACCTCTTCATCTACATTATTCTGATTGGATATTTCTTCCACTGTTCTCTCAGATGCAATTTCCATTACCTACAAAATATTGACAAATAAATTCTTAACATCAGAAAACTCATTCAAAAGAGCTAGTTAGGTTCTTTGACAGTTGCCTTTACCAAAGTGTTTTTTTCCCCTAAGCACAATTTCTACCAAGTTCTTTTTAGCAAGATTTATTGAGATGGATGCGTTAGAAGAATTCCCAGCAACTAATTGTGTTTAATTTGGAAGCAGTATATCTCCATGCACACTGGGATGGAGATACTCTATTTCTCTAACTGCCTTCCGCAAGAAAACCAATTCCACTCCCCCCCAATAGTACTGAAATTTGCAACTGGTTGTTTATCAGTCTGGGAACCAATTCTTAGAGAATGACACATATTCTCCCATCCAAGTGTTAATGCCTCTTTTAAAAAAGCTCTGATGTTGTATAGCTCACTGCCACTACTAGATCATCACTGGCTCCATAACAGACCTGGAGAAACAGGACCTTTGAACAGTATTTGAAGGAATTTGCTGCTTCATTTATGGGGCATCATTTATATCAGAATGCTCAGGATACAAAAGCCAAAACTGGCAAATGGAAATCAATTGCTCAGTCTGAAGCAAATGCACATGGATCTTATGTTTGCAGAAGGGACAGATTGGGGGGGTGGGGGGAGGGAGCTGGCTTGCAATTACTGGAGAATCTAGTACTCTTAGTACGGTACATGACTGGGAGTGCACTGTATTAATTTGAGCTGACTTACCTACTATGTCTTTTCTGAAGCAGATAGAAAGGATGTCAGCCAACCAACCATGCTTATCATTTCTACACTAAAATACTGCAGTACATTAAGAGCGGTCCGTGAACTTCAACTAGCCTAAAATGTGGAAGTTAGATCTTTTCTGAAAGCGGCAGATCAGGACACATAATTTAAATTCTATACCAGATTCATTGGATCTTGCCCAAAGTGGCTTTTGCTTAATAGATAATGCCACATTTGACCTTTAAAACTGTTAATGTGTTATGTTCGGTACAATGCTCATGGGCACCAATGAGCTACTGCACAGCTTCCTTAAGTCCACCAGACTGCCTGATCCACTGCAGTTAACTTAATTTCACTTAATTTTAAACAAAATGAGAAGCTGGCAGGCTGTAGCTCATCAGTCCTCTAAATCATCTTTATCTCCAAGAATGCCCCTGGATTCCAGATAGCCCCATAAGGTTTTGATAAAGTCAGCAGCTACAGATAGTAGATAGATTGGTACCACTTTGGTGGGCAACTTAACGGGGACACGAAAGGAGCCTATAGCGGGGCGTCCCCCGGGCAATGGTAGTGTCACCAATCAATCCTTTCAACCCAGAAGTGCTTTGGTCTCCCAACACGACTGTAGTAATAGTAGCAGCTATCGACATGTTTCATTACTGTTCTTACACAATGGCTTTGGTTGCAAGTGAAAAAGGACATTTTCAAAAGATTCACTTCCTTCAGATCTCATAAACAAGATGGGGAAATCAGTTTTTATAGCATGTTATAGAGGCTAAGACACTGAACTTGTCGATTGAAAGGTCGACAGTTCAGCAGTTAGAATCCCTAGTGCCGCGTAATGGGGTGAGCTCAGGGGTGGGTTCTAAAATTTTTTACTACTGATTCTGTGGGCGTGGCTTATTTTGTGGGCATGTCTTGATGGTCATGTGACAATTATTTAGGATTTAGCAGAGGTACTGGTCTATGTCATATTGTCACCGCTACCGGCTCGGGAGAACTGGGCCGAACCGGGAGGAACCCACCCTCGGGAGCTCCTGTCACTTGTCCCAGCTTCTGCGAACCTAGCAGTTCGAAAGCACATAAAAAATGCAAGTAGAAAAATAGGGACCACCTTTGGTGGGAAGGTAACAGCGTTCCGTGCGCCTTTGATGTTTAGTCATGCCAGCCATATGACCATGGAGATGGCTTCAGATAGCACTGACTCTTTGGCTTTGAAACGGAGATGAACTCTGCCTCCTAGAGTTGGGAATGACTAGCACATATGTGCGAGGAGAACCTTTACCTTTATAGAAAGTCTCAGAGGAGCCAGCTTCTCTTACCCGCAATAAACAAATACTTTCCCCTCAGAAATAGTGATTTAAGTACAATATCAATACAGATAGTCCTATTTATTTATATCCTGCCTTTATTATTTTTACAAATAACTCAAGGCAGCAAACATATAGTCCTTGTTTAGGAACTGTATTTAGTTATCATTCAGTTATGACAGTGATGAAAAAGTAATTTTATGATCAATCCTTGTAATTATGACTTGCAGGCATGTAAAGCAAAGGAACACTGAGGTAAGATCATGAGAATGGTTTCACTTAGTGACCCTTCCCTTAATGGCTAAGTTACTGCTTCCAATTGTGGTTGCTAAGTGAGAATTACCTGCCTGAACCTTCAATATGAATATATTTTCATAAAAGATAAACCAAGCCCTACCTTTTCAAGATAGGCATCCATATTCTCATTCGTAATAGATTGATCCGTGACAAACTCAAAGAGCTCTCTCACTGTCATCACCGCAACATTGTACTTATAAAAGAAATCTGCCAGAAAGGACAAAGATGACATTAAAATTATTATTACTTACAAAAAACTTTGATGGCTCCAGTTCAGCTTCCAAACTGTCCCACAAGATTTAGAAGTTCATTTATGTGGCAGATGCTTTGGATGGCGCTACAAAAAGCTTTCCTGGATAATCCATCTTTAAGCACCCCCACTCCAAGCACATCAGAATTACGATCTTAGTTGTAACCATCAGGATTATTTTTAAAATTGAAATATCCAATTATGCAGTTTAAATATGATCAATTCTACTGAATAGCTAAATCACACAAGGAATATTATTGACCTCCGCACCTTCCGCCGCGACTTAAAGACATGGCTGTTCAGCCTGGACTGGGGGGGTTAACATGTATTTTAACACGCTTTTATTTGGATATTTTATTGTTGTGAGCTGCCCTGAGTCCTATGGAGATAGGGCTGCATATAAATCAAATCAAATCAAATAAATAAATAAATATTATCTCCTCACCGTTGATATTGGCACAGTCTTTCCTCAGGAATTCCAAAGCATGTGGATGATCATGCTCCACAGACTGGGACACATCTATAATATATACCTGACCACTGTGATACCTGGAAAAAGGGAAACCATCAATACCACAATATATTAGTATTAAGGAAGGAGGGGGGGGGAAGGAAGGGGAAGTAGAGAAGAATAGGAGAGGAAGAAAGAAAAAAGTAGAAGAGGATAGAAGAAGGGTGGGAAGAGAAAGAGAGAAGGAGAAGAAGGATTGTTGTAAAACAAGGGAGATGAAGTGGTAGAACCTCGAGCATGTTTAAATTTATTAGGATGAAGAACGAACTAATATGAAAGTTAAAAGAGAATACTGTATATATGATTAATAATGGATAAGATAACTAACTGAAATAATGTTAAGAAATTAGGATTTGAGGGCTTATGGTGATGCAGTTTATATAATAAGTATAGAAATATTAAGATAAGATAAAAAAGTAGGGAAAAAGAACATTTTGGCAGAAACTGTAACTATGTAAAGTATATTTGGATATGACAAGTTGTATAAGATATGATACGGTCAATACTCTGTTCACAAAATGTGTGTGTGTGAAAGAACAAATCAATAAAATTTGATTTAAAAAAACAAACCACAATACATTTATTTCCAAATACTGTATCTTATATCTATTATGGCATTTTCAGAAAACATCAGAGTCTTTGGGAGACAGCTGGACGAATGAATGCCACAGAGTTTTAATTGCTGTAATGAAGCTGTCATTCTAATTAAATAATGCCAATCTAGCAAGTCAGTTTGAAAGAAGATGTTAAGACATTTAAATTTAGCAGCTGGAGCAGCAGGGTTGTGCAGTGAGCCACAACAGAGTTGTGGTTGATAGCTTGAAGAGTGCTAGCTCCTGTGTGAGGCAATCTGTGCTGTGATTAGTTGCTGTAGGTGTGGAAGGAAAGTTTCTCTGTTTTCCTGCCTTTTTCTTCTGTGTGCGCCCGGCATGCTCTGTGGTTCATTTCATGAGGCTCCTATTTGCCTGACTATCTTATCTGCTGTAAATATTGATGTAAAATTTATTTATTTATATAAAACTACAGGTACTCCTTGACTTATGACTACAATTGAGCCCAAAATTTATGTTGCCAAGTGAGAAGTTTGTTAAGTGAGTTTTGTCCCATTTTATGATCTTTCTTGCTACCGTTGTTAAGCGAATCACTGCAGTTGTTAAATTAGTAACACGGTTAAGGGAATCTGGCTTCCCCATCGACTCTGCTTGTCAGAAGGTCGCAAAAGGTGATCACATGACCCCGGGACACAGCAACGGTCATAAATATGAGTCAACTGCCAAGCATCTGAATTTTGATCACATGATCATGGGGATGCTACAAAGGTCATAAGTGTGAAAAATGGTGATAAGTCACTTTTTTCAGTGCAACGGTCACTAAGTGAACTTAAGTCGAGGACTACCTGTATAAGTTTGTGTCAGTGTTTCTGACTTCATTTGGATACCTGCTGCGCAATTCCCTGACAGAAAAAGTGGACAGACAGGAGGCAAATATGCAGTGTTTCAATTCTTCAACTCTTTCAACTCTTATTTCCCTATCACTCTGTTCTACCAATATCCAGTATGTGATTTTGAAACCCAAGGCTACCTAGATTTGGAGCGACTTCCAAAATTTTCCTGAAAATTGAGATCTTTGCAAAGTGAGATGGTGTACAACTTGATCGGGCTGGATAACTAACAAACGCTTCTTCATTTCTGCAACAGTTCAGTTATCAACTGTTCTTCATCCCTGCAATGCAAGAACTAATTTCTGTGCAGTCCTGTCTGGGCAGAGGAAAATATGTCATCTCTCAGGTCAGAATGCATCCAGAGAATTCACAACTCAGCAGCAGATGGCTTAAATTACACTGGGAATCCAGAAAGTGTCCCAGAGAGTAGCCCTAAGAGGTCCCCAGAGAGATACTGACTGGAGGATATGCTTTCTGCTAAACAATACCTATCTTAAGGGGAGGATTGTAACCCCCACATAGTCATTATGCAAATGCCTCAAGTCCCAATGTTAAAGTTGAAAAACAAAAATAAGACATACAGCATATTAAATTCACTGAGATCTGCATGAACAAGCTTGGCGTCCTGGTACATTCTTCTCATGTATTGTATGACTTGCAGGTACAACTCTCGGGCTTTTGACTCTGATAACTGGGCATTTTTCAACAAAGGAGCAGGCCTTGGAGAAAAGAAACAAAGAATACAATGTTTATATATCTCTCCAACTGTCCCTTTCCTTAAATACTGCAATCGCTGTCTTTCTGTAAGGAGAACTACATAAGGCCAAAATAAATTCCCACATAAGCAGAAATATGAATCACATGAGAAAAACAAAACATTTAGGAGGAAAAGTGAAAAACTCTTTATTTTTCCCAATTTTCGCATGCCTGCATCTAAGCGTGGTGCATCAGTCTACCTGCTTTGCACTTGCATCCAAAGTAATTCAGACATGCACTTTAAAAAAAACTCTGCTTATATGTCGTACTTTAATTCATGCATATGAAGATCTTATTACACAATGTACAACAAAATGAAGAAAGCAATTTACCGTGTTTCCCTGAAAATAAGACCCTGTTTTATATTTTTTTGAACCCTGAAATAAGCACTTGGCCTTATTGCCATGCGCTCAAAAGCCCGATTGGGCTTATTATCAGGGGATGTCTTATTTTGGGGGAAACAGGATATTAAATGGACATCAAGGATGAACTCCCCCCCCCTCCTCCAAAGGACCTGTTAAACTAATATTTCAACTAGCATTTTAATTTAAAAGTAAGCATCAGCACTATTTAATTGAGTGTTAGGTAGCTTAAAAGACAAATTAAAGATGCTCAGCTGCCAAGGTCAATCTAGTTTCCAGGACAAAAATGCACTTTAGCAACTGAATATCCTTGATTTGTTTTCTTCGGCTTCAGAAACAGAACTGTTGTGGTCCACCAGCAGCCTGCGGACCTGGCAGTGGAGTTGGTCAGTGAGGAGGCTGGGGAGAACAATGGGCCAGTCCTGGAGTCAGGGGAAGGCCTGGACGAGGGCTCTGCATCGGAGGCAGAGATGGGGCCAGGGCCATCTGGGAGCGATGCGCGGACTCCGGAGCGAGCGTGTTCCTAGTGCACACATGTGAAGAGCTGCCAGAAGGCAAGAGCATCTGAAGCAAAAAGGACGACTCGGGAGTAAGGCCAGATGATGATTGGCCCCTCCCATTAGGCTTAAAAAAGGAGCAACGAGCTGTTGGGTTCTTTGTAGAAAAGCAACATTGATTCCAGTGCTTCTTGTCAGCGTCTCTTGAACTTTGTGGGGGTTTTGCCAAGAAAAGCCTTTGGCAGGTTACCAAAGACATCAAAGATTGGTGATAAAGCCAATGGACTGGTTATGAAGAATTTGTTTTGGACTAAGCTGAGAATGAATTAATTCTCAGCTGTTTTAATAAAATAAGTTTGTTCAGGGCTGAATTGTGTTTGGTAATCACTACTCGGGCCTAGGTCACAACAAGAACAATTAACCTGTTGTGGAAAGGGTTGCAATCTTCCTGCAGAGAACAATGCTTAATTTGGGGTGCTCAAATTAAATCCAACTTCGACACTGGAGGCTTCTGTTGCTCAGATAACAATAATCAGCTTCAAGGTTTCCATGACATGGATAGCATTACAACAATAATCCTCCAGTTGAGTGCAAAATGTTTCAAACTCAAAAACATCCGGTTTCAAGTTTGAAAAAAATATTTCAAGCCAAAAGCAGCTCTTTCCCATTAGAAATGTAATAATTTCAGAAGTGCTTCAGGCTGACTGAATCAACCTATTCCGCTTTTGAAAATAACACTCTTAAATTTGAAGCAGAATGTTTTCAATTTGAGACAATTTTTTTTTCTATATGCCGCCCTTCTCCGGAGACTTAGGGCGGCTTACAGTGCATTAAGCAATAGCCTTCATACTTTTGTATATTTTTTACAAAGTCAGCTTATTGCCCCCACAAACTGGGTCCTCAATTTACCTACCTTAGAAAGGATGGAAGGCTGAGTCAACCTTGAGCCTGGTGAGAATTGAACTCGCAGTAATTGCAGGCAGCTGGATGTTAAATGCTGCCTCAGTAGGAGGCATTAGCCTCCTACGCCACTCAGGCTCAGACAATTCAGAGTCGAAATATTTTGCACATTGCTACTGCTTTCACACTGACTGTACTGTATTGATCCGCCATCTAACTAGTTTTGCTAGAATTGACAAATGCATTAGAGGAACAATTCTTCTGAAGCTTTGATTCTACAAACTTGTGCCAGTGTTTCCAAACTGCAGCAATTTTAAGATATGTGGACTTCAACTCCCCAAATTCCTCTAGTCAGCATGGAGCTGACTAGAGGAAGCTTTCAGCTTGGAGTTGAAGCTTTCAGCTTGGAGTTGAAAATGGACACATTTTAAAGTTGTTGAGGTTTATAAAACATTGACCAATGCAATGGAAGACACTAATAAATTAGTACTTGACTTCCTATATAGCCCTTTCCCATGCTATACTTCTTAAATAACTCCTATAGACGTATGGAAGAATGTGTTTAAGTGTGTGAATCTATAAATCATAAATGTTTATAGATGTTCTGTGTGACTTTGGCCACTATGGTTTGCATAGTATACCATAATTAAAATAAATCCTGGCTTAACACAAAATTTGAATCCAGCCGCACAGCACTTGAATATACTTACATATCATTTTTGCCAATAAAGCCCATCACAAGAACATGACTTCTTAGCATAATGGGTTCTGGACATGGGATTTGTGCTGTATGTAACCTACCAAACAAGAAATCAAAAAGACAAAACTGCTGTTATTTGATATATCTGCTACCACCTATTAAAAAAAAGTCCTATGTGCAGAAAAGAGCTTCAAAAATTCAGAAGATCATTTAGTCCAATAATATTTATCTTACCTTCATAATTATTTAGTCAGGAAATACTGTATATAAAGCAAGAAAATATATAAAGAAAGCCTCACAAGCTCTCCCAATCTTGCTGACACCTTTCATTTTCATTCTCATGTCTTGAAGCTAAATGTTAAGTATTGTACGTAAATTGTTAACAAATAATTATTTTCTTCCCAAAGTCTTTGATAGCGGTGCTTTTCCTTTCAGTGTAAAACTATTTTTAAGATCTCAAATGGGGATATGTGCTTCAATTTAAAAACAGAAACAATCCCTTTTGTTTCAAGGGTTAACATGAATTGACTTGAGCACAAATATTCTGTGAAAGAAACTGGCCAATTTAAATTTGGAGCCCAGATACTTACTCCAAATTAAGGCCCTCTACTCAGACATCCACTTGAGAACTAAACCTAAAAATACCCATTGTTAAGTTTTACTCAATTCCTAAGAAGGGCCTATTGTAGAACTATATATGAGTTTTTGGATTCCATGGCCAAATATCCATTACTTGTCAAATAGTGAGAAAACACATCGATGTGGTTCACAAATCAGTTAAGATTTTATTCATGTTTTGCCTTTTGTTCATGTTTTGCCTAAGCCTTTTAGGCTTAGATGTAAAAAAAAAAAAAAGGAAGGAATATCCTTCTTCCCTTCCTCTACTCTTTGAGACTGCTTGGCTGTTAAAGATCAAAAGCTCTCGAACTGGAGAAATGGGAAAAATTGTGGGAAACAAATGTGAAATTGACCATGTCAGCGGCGTATAAGGAAAATCAGTACAAGATGTTTTGTAGATGGCATCTTCTGCCGGCGAGACTCGCCAAGATATTACCAAATATGTCACCGATTTGCTGGAAATGTAAGAAATCTTATGGAACATTTTATCATTTATGGTAGACGTGTGCATCTGCAAAAAAATATTGGACTAAAATCAAAAAGTGGCTTGAAGAGATAACTGAACACTATGTAGACTGGAAACCGGAACTATTTTTATTGGGAATATCTCCAAAAACTATACCAAAGAAATACGATATTTAATTTTACGTATTATAACAGCAGCCAGGATAACATATGCACAGAATTGGAAAAGCAACACTATACCAAAAGAAGAAGAGGTGATAAGGAAAGTCTTGGATTGTGCAGAGATGGACAAATAGACGAAAGAGATAAAAGAAAAAGATGAAACGGAATGTTATTTAATATGGAATAAATGGTATAAATGGCTAGAGGTCAGGAACAGCAAGTAAGAAGGATTACTAATATGCCACTAAACAGACAATATATGTAAAGTAATATATAGATACAATAATATGTATAACAGAAAAGAAATATATACATAAATAAGGAACAAAGGAACCACAAATATAAATATAACTAAAGACAGGGAGGGAAAAAACATAAATTTAAAAGAAGACTGATATAAAACTGTTGTAAAATGGAAATTTATGTTTTGTGTTTGTTTCTGTTCTTGTTTTTAAAGAAAAAATAGTAATAATTTTTTTTTTTTTTTAAAGGTCAAAAGTTCTCCTTACTCTGGGAAAGAGAGATGACTGAAAAATGCATTTGCCTGAAGTGGTTTGTCAGATATCAGTTTTTGAAGATGAGTATCATATGAATGTGATCACTCAATATGTATATTTTCCTGCTTTTATTGCCATATTTCTGATTCTGAATGTGGATCATTTGTACATGTTAGAAAATAAAAACAAAATTCATGGCTTTTTTTTTTTTTTTTTTTTTAATGTTCTAAACCTGGAAACACGGGTATTTAAATTATTTTGCTTTTAAAAGAACAAATTTGTTCTGGAGTTCAGCAGGAATCCCTGAACAAGGCACTCTGATGTTGGTCCTAAATAAATAGTTGAAAGAATTGCATCTCCTGAACATTTTGCTTCTTAAAAACTTGAAATGCTTTTATTTTAACTTCCAGAGTATTAAAATCATTCCCTGAAGTCAAGCTGAAAATGGAAGAATGTCAATTCTCACCTGGTTAAATTCCTCATTTCTTTTTCTGCCCATGTCCTGACCATCTTTCTTGGGTTTCCTTTACAGTATCCATGACGAAACCTTGGAATGGCAAGAGAGAGATTGAATGTTTATTTTGTAAAAAAAAAAAAAAAAACCCAACTGAAAAGTGAAATCCAGAAGCAAGTACGCAATATAGACTCACCTGAATTCTCCACTCACGTATTTATCCCGATCTTTAAACATCAAAATACTAGTTTTATAAATCTTTATTGCTCTATTCTCGCCTTTTGCAGTGCTGGCATGGTACACATTAGCCTGGAAAAAATGCAAAGAAATATAACAAAAATGTGTCAATATATAGATTGATATATATTATTTGAGAAGTCAACCAATAGTTTTAAAATTACTTTGTTTTAATTAACTACTATATGGCACAGAGTTTAATACACGTAATAGAGTTTATTTTGGATCACTGGCTATGTTCACACTGTGATATATCTGAGTTTAATGAACCTAGCCACTATAGTTTATTAAACATGATTTATTATTAGGTTTAGCATTAATTTTGAGATCTACTGTATATGATACTCTGGCTACAAAAACAGGACTGTCAAAGGCCAACTGCATGACCCATGAATCCAATAACCATCCAGGCTAAATCTATAGATCACAGGGGTACAAACCACACTGTTCATATTTTAAATTGCCTTTACTCCTTTCCAAACAGGTGAATCCTGAACAGAATGGGGAAAAAAAGTTGCCCACACTTGAATCATTTTGTATAGAGATATACCACTCCTATAATAATAATGCATAGCATTAATGACCTGAAATAAATACTTCTTTACCATGCATAATCTATGTGTGGAGGGGAAAATAGCTCTCTGTATTTGTAAACTTATGTCCACATGTACAAAAAGTTGTTTGGATTGTGTCCTCGATTTGGCGCAGAACTGCTTGAATGAAAAGAGGCATTTAATGACAGCTGCAAATTGTAATTCTGCAAATTATGTCACTGCATTCCACATCGGTCTTCTCAGGCATTATTTTAATACCTATTATTTTTGAAAGGGATAGCCTGCCTGGATAGCCCGCCTGGATAGCCCTCAAGTCTAATCTGACATCAAAAGCAGGATTTTTTTATTTTAAAAAAGCCTAGAATACACAGTCAGATTACATTAAGCTCTGGTTTATGAGGACTCAACCCAAGACCCAGCTCGTGAAACTATAGTTAAATGTTAAGAAAAAGAATTATAGCAAAACCTGGACTATTATAAGATATAAGGGAAATTTTATGATTGGTTAAAAAGAAAATATAAAGATTGCGATAATTAAATAAGGAGAATGTTATATTAAATGTATTGTAATTTGGGGAAAATATCGCAACAGAGAAATGGAAACTATCAAGGAGAAATGAAGATGGGAGGAGTAATAAAAAGTAGTAGTAGTCACGGAAGAAACACCGAGAAGATACATGGAAGGATTGATGTATTATGTGTTTGTTTGTTTTAAAAAAAAATTATTAAAAAAAAATTATAGCAAAACCTGCTTGCTGCCTGCTCTTCTACAGTCACTACTAGAAGTGATTTAGAAGGTGTTTAATTAATCACAGGAAAAGTATGGAGGTAGAAAATTTGCTCTCCTCATGTCAGTCTTGTAAAGTAAACCAGACAGGAAACATGGTCAAATGAGCTAATTCTACTTTATTATATTTCTTTATTATAACTTTGTACATTATAATATTAACAGATTCTTTCAAGTGTGAAAGTATCTCTCCCCCTCCCCCCCCGAAATGCCATCCCCTTTACAACCTAAGAAACTAGGGAGGGTTTCTTCTGAGCCTTTTGACTCACCCACATTTCTGCTACAGGATAAGTTGGCATCTGATTGCTCCCTTCGCTGTGTCTCTTTGCCCTATCTCCCAAGGACATTCCTACACACCATTACATCTGACAACCGAAACTGAGTGTTTTCAAGTCCAAGCCTTACTGCATCTTAGCTTTTCAAAGCTAAATCTTAGGTATCTATGAATCCTTGCCAGTCCTGATGCAGAAGAATGGAGCCTCTTTGTTCCAAAATGACTTTTCAGAAAAATTATAGAAAGCATGTAATACAAATCACAAGACTTTTAAAAATGCATTGCAAGATTACTTTTAGCAAACTATAGATTCAGCCAACCTCTTTTCCAGTACTGACACAACCGTTGATCTCGGATATCACACCTCTGCTAAGCATCTTGAACAGAATCATTCGTGTTCTTGGATCCAGGACCTTAGAAAGACAAAACACCATCAAATCCAATCCTTACAAAGATGTGGATAAATCACTTTCAAGTTTAAAATCTAAGAAAGTCCTATTTGTTCAAAGCCAAGATTTTTCTCCTACAAAGTTTATACCAATTCTTTTTCCAACTTGTTTTCTTTTGCAAATTTTTAGTCTTTGCAAATGCTTAAAAGTTTAAATGACATTTCACTAAAATGTAGGAGCAAAACATGACTACATCATAAGCCTTTATAGAACACTGCTGGATTCATGAAGCATCTGAGAAATATCAACTTTATGAATGAATATGTGTTTCTATCCATTATTGTCTGATTAAGAAATTACAGATCAATGCAGGCAGTCCTCATTTAATGATCACTCATTCAGTGACTATTCAAGCTTACAACGACACTGAAAGGATAGTACTTATGAACTGTTCTCGTAGTTGTGACTATTGCAGTGACTTTGCAGTAATGTGATCACAATCTGCAACTTCACTCCCAGCTATCAAGAAGCAAAGTCAATGGGGAAGCTGACAGGAGGCTACAAATGACAACCATATGATGTCTTTGCTAAACAACCTGTGATGGTTTGCTTATGACATCATATGACAGCAGGAAGTGACATAACTGCCATCAGTAAGCAACACAGTCATGTGATATTGTGCTTAAGATCACACCACTTACTGACTATAATTCCAGTCCCAAGAGAATGAGGGCCACTTGTACAAATACACATATAAGTGTGTTGGGTCTTAAGGACTACCTTATTTCAACTGAAGCAATTCTTTAAAGAAACCAATTAATCATGGTTTATATTACTGGAAGTCTATAATTCTCTGATAGAGCACCTGAAATCTTACTGATTTTTTTTCCTCTGAAGGCAGAGAGATACAATCATGAAATATTGCAGAATATAACTGGAGAATAAAACTTCCTTTATTATTCTACCCAAATAATAATTAACTTGGACAGAATATAATCCAAAAGCATCCATCAATGTGATCTGGAAGCAAACACGTCTCCACCTATATTTTGCTCTCCCAACATCAGACCAGTAGTGCAGTAAAAGTTTCTAAGCATTCTCAGATAGGATTTTGGAATAACCTGATGAAATGGAGAAAACCCATCTGGATAAAGCATAACTGTATTATGTAAAAGGGAGATTTCACATTGACTTTACAATGTTATGCACTGCTATTAAAGAATATAGTTGGCTGAATAGTTTCCTTTTAAAGGATAAATACTTTGAATTCTCACAATACATTTTTTTACAACTGATAATTCACATCACTTACTTGTTCTACTGTTGCCCTGTCTGATTTATCTTTTACCCGGTACCTAGCAGAAACAAAACATTGTATTGATCCATTGTACTGGAATAAAATACAAATATCTCAACACTTAAGCTACATGCCAGCAATATGAAAATATTCTGGGCCAAGAAACAGGACAGAAAACCTAAAACATTCTCCAGGAATTAAAACCAGGGAGCTTCATAATGCAACTCACAGAGACTTCAGTCAAGCAACATTAGAGTGGTTTTCAGGAACATAAAACAGTATCACCATTAGATAAGAACATGCCAAAACAAAATTGGAAATAACTTAATTTACCAAACCAATCTTAACCTCACTTTTTAGGAATGCATGCCTAGTCCTAAATGATCAGGCAAAAAAGTCTGAGGAGGCATCTGTAGGACTGCGATGTTAATTTTGCAAGGCTCTCTTAGAATGTAATATTATATCAAAAAATAATGTATTATTATATTAATTGTACTACAAACCCATGTCAATCAATTAACAGCTATATATTCTCTACAACATTTCTGCACATCCATATTACTTACATATGTGCTTCTCTTTGCCTAGACTTCTCTGTAACTTTATTTATAACAGAATCAGCAAAACGCAGCTTGTCTGGAAAACACACATACACACATCCCACTCTTTAAAAATTGCTTCAACACTGCTGTCCAAAAATAACATGCATAATTTCATTGTGAACATACTTCTAGAAAACAAGCAATGCATTTATAACATTTAATGCAGGGGTCTGCAACCTTAAACACTCAAAGAGCCATTTGTACCCGTTTTCCACAGAAAAGAAAACACCAGGAGCCACAAAACCCTTCCCGTGCCTGACTATTTCTTGAGCGGCCACAAAACTAGCATATGTAGTTGAATTAAATGTTCTAGTTTCTTCTGAAACTTTTCTTTTCTTGGATTTATCCATGGCTGGCCTACCGGGGGTTGAAAAGCTCAATAAATCGTGTGCCTGAGGGTGTTGCACATTGGCGGTTGTGACACATATTTTGAGTGACAGGGAGCCGCAGCAGAGGGGTGAAAAAGCCACATGCGGTTCCAGAGCCGCGGGTTGCTGACCCCTGGTTTAATGTAAGCACTGTTTTCCATTCATATATATGTCTGTCAACTGTTTTCCCCCCTTATATTTCTGAAACCACTCAACTTCTCAATGTCTCTGGAAAATGTGCACAATTAAAAACCGCAAAATATAAAGGAACATGTGTGTGTGAGAGACAGACAGACAGACATAGAGACAGACACAGAGAAAGAGAGTCATCCTGAGGGAATGGATATAACACCATCTTAGAGGAAGTCCTCATCCTACTTTGGCCCGAAGCTAAGAGAAAGTCAGGTCTTCAAGACATATTTAACAGAGAACAGAGTTGGGGGGTTGCTTGAAATCTGGAGGGGATTGTGGAAGGTTGAATTGCCCCAGTGAATTTGGGATGATGCAATGGTACCAAAACTCTTTTTTGTGGGCCCAAATCAAGCTTAATGTCATAAGCTTGATGGCTTAATAAAACATCTTGTTTTCTAGCTGTAAAGCTATAAAGGAAGCATTATGTAATGGAGGAGTAGGTCTGTTGTGTATTCTGGAGTTGTTTTTGTATGACATGGTGATACTGCGTCTACCAAGGAGGAAAAATCTGTAGTTAGAGATCCAGCAAGAGTAGCCAGGACCTGAAAGAAGGATCTGCTTAAGTTAGTTGGCTGGTGGAATGGTTTCTGAGAATAGACTAGATGATAGTGAGGACAGCTTGGTAATGGTGGTAGAATCCAGGAAATCCAGGTGTGGTTTGTTTTTCAGCTACAACTTGCAAAGCGTAGTGTTTTCCTATCCCTTCTTTCTCTTTAGGAAAATATATGACTAACAGAAAAAAGAGAAGCTGAGACACATGTAGACTGGCCTACCCTGAAAGGCACCTGTACAGGATGACCTTTACCATTTCATAATCTTATAATCCTGCTATAGTTGTTAGTAAAATATGATTTGAAATGTGAAACAGGGGACTATAAGTCTATTTTTGATGAGCCAAAACTTTATTCCATCACAGAAACAAATAAAACCAGTTTTTGTACATCTTCCAGAGGCATTTTAATAGTTTTCCAGGACAGATTAACACATTAATCCATTGAATTTCATCTTTTAAAAGCTATCACCCGATTCAGCCCTTCTGGAATCCTGGAATTCTAAATGGTCTACTTACCTAGATTGATTTTATGTTCAAACTTTCTTAATGCTTTATCTGTAGGTGTAGACATTTTGGCTGCACTGCTGCTGGGAATCTGTTTGTTTGGCTGAAAAAAATGTTATTAAGTCAAATTCCATTTTAAAACCATTCTAAAGGCACACTTTCACAGATTCTTAATCTGAAAAACAATAAAAAAGGCAATTGCATGATTATGTCCCCCAGTACTATCCGTATTATGTGCAAATTCCCCAGGCCTGCAAACACTAGTTAGCATGTATAGTCAAGTGCTGTTATAACCTTATCCATGAGTAAGTTTGAAGGGTGAGTCTCAAGAGGGAATGCAGAATCTTGTGGCCCATTCCAAATGCATCAGTCACGATTAAGGCCATAGGAGCAAAAGCATATATATCAGCTAGCCTAAGAAACACATTTCATCAAATTCAGGAAGTATAGTAAGACATGTAACTTGACTTTTAGAAGGCTAAAGACAGTGGGAGTTTTGCACTGAGTTTTGTGCTGAGCCACAGCATAACGGAATGCACCAGTGAAAAAGAACCCAAAGATTTTAACTGATGCACCTCCTTTCCCTTTTTCAGTCCTTGTGTGGCCAGAAAAAAACAGATCAGAATTCCATTTTAATTAGTTGGTGGCTTAGCAATGCATGAACATCAAAGAACTGGGGTTTAAAATAAAATATAGGCACATACGCTAAACCACCAAAATTCCTAGATTCTTTAGCTGGCTAGAGTTTATTTTAAACTACAACTTGGTTTGCGCAGAACAAGCTGAATTAGCTAAAATGACACAGAATTCTGGTTTACTCTTCCTCTGGGTTGTGTGAATGGGAAAGAAAAGGAAATGCTCAAGCCTCATACTTTGCAAGCCTGTCATTTATGCAAGTAGCACTAAGCTATGGCTCACCATCACACATTAAGACAGTAATTAACCTTAGGTAGTACTAGGTGCAAAAACTCCTGAAACTATCAGCTAGTCTCTACAGGAGGCTAGGACATTTTTTTGTTATTCAAAGCAAAATGGAATACTTAAGCATTCAGACTATTGACTTTCCCAATGCACTGTGACTACTTTCCTATAAAATAATTTTAAAGGTTCAAATTAAAATGCCCACAAGTGTAGTTTACAGCTGAATACATTGTCACATAAAAACTAAATCCACTCATTATGGTAAGCCAGGATAGTGGCCTGGTTTTATAGTCATGTTATACTACAATTTGCTACTAAGTCCAAACAAGCTATACCCACAGTCATATAATTCAATAGTCTATAGCAGGGGTGTCAAACTCGCATCGCCATGGCAGCGTCATATGATGTATCAGAACTTTTTCCCCTTCACTAAACTTGGCATAGGCGTGGCCAGCGTGTAACGGATCCAGACCGCACATTTGATAGCCCTGGTCTATAGGAACCAGGGCAAATACATCTAAAAGTAATACATAAAAATCCACTTATTACACACCTGTAGGTTTCTTCCACCAGCCATTGGATTCCGTTTTGTCAGCTTTCCCATATCATCATCCCAATCCCATCCATCCTCCTCATCCTCAGAGCTCTCATATGATTCATCCGCATCAGCTTCCTCATTCAGATGGGACTGTTGCATTTTAACCATCACCTTCTCCTCCTGAGATGGTTGAACAACCTGCGAGGCTTCGCTATTTTTTTTAAAAAGAAGAATATTTAGTAAAGGCTTAATAGGCTGACTCTATAATGGTTTCAAAACAATGGAGACAACATACAGTGGACACACTGCTATAGTGAGCATAACTAGTCACAAAACATCCATTTACCAGAAGAGCTAACTCTTCTGGGATACTTTCTACAATCCCAGTGGGAACTTTATTAAACTCATAAGTATTGATGCAAATACATAAAGTGATGTTGGTTTTTACAGTATATTTGGCTCCTTTTTATAAGGGACGCGGTGGCTCAGTGGCTAAAACGCTGAGCTTATCAATCAAAAGGTCGGCAGTTCAGCGGTTCAAATCCCTAGTGCCACATAATGGGGTGAGCCCTCGTTACTTGTCCCAGCTTCTGCCATCCTAGCAGTTCGAAAGGACTTAAAAATGCAAGTAAGAAAATAGGGACCACCTTTGGTGGGAAGGTAACAGCGTTCCATGCACCTTTGGCATTTAGTCATGCCGGCCACATGACCACGGAGACGTCTTCAGACAGCGCTGGCTCTTTGGCTTTGAAACGGAGATGAGCACCGCCCCCTAGAGTCGGGAACGACTAGCATGTATGTGCGAGGGGAACCTTTATCTTTTTAGTCTCCTTTTTACTTTGTTTTAGCTAAAAACACATTTAAAAGGGCAGATAAGTCATAGTGCCTAGAGGTCACCAAGGGATGGGTCTGAAGGTGCATGGATGTATCAGGCCTACAGTGTAACAGAATTCTCCAGACTTGCTGGAGACTAGCTCCCACTCCCCAACCTTTAACTTGGTTAAGGATGATGGAAGTTGGGATATTATGGTACATAATAATATGAATAGCATTTTGTTTCCGTATTTACCGTACTATAGCCACCCATATTTTAGTGGCAACTTTTATAAATATCCAAGACTTTCAGGAACTATGTGCCAACCTAGACTTTAAGTGGCGCACAATTGATCTATAAGAAACTGCTGGAGGTAGTCATTTCAAGATTTGGAACAAGATATCATTTGTATATTATAGTATCCATCTCTCACTTACTTTCTTTCCATTCCACCTGAATCAGGTGAGTACATGGACTGGATCAGTATTTGGATGACAGTCAATAACCTAAGATTGAATTCTGACAAGATGGAGGCACTGTTGATCGATACTCTTAAGATCTAATGACATCCTCTTTACATAATTCCTTAGCTTTGATGGTGTATCAGATATTAAAATTCAGTTCAGTTGACTATTTAACACAGGGGTGTCAAACTTGCTGCCCACAGGCTGGATGCGTCACACGCTGGCCATGCCCACCCCCGGTTTAATGAAGGGGGGAAAAGTCACAATACATCATGTAACAACGTGATGTCGTGAGTTTGACACCCGTGATTTAACACATTCTCTTCATGTAGGTTTCTGGGTTCTTCTAATAGAAAGGGAGTTATTCTTTGTTTTCCAGTTCACTCCATTTGCATCTTCCATTCGATGTATAGCTTTATAGCATTCCATTTATATAGTTCATTCCATGTATAGCTCAAATCTGATTGGATTTATAAGAGGTGTGGACTTCAACTCCTGAAAATTGTAGGCTGGGAATTTGGGACTTGACGTCCACATCTGTTAACAGGGGCTAAATTTGAGAAACACTGATTTAGGGGATTTTGTGTACGCATTATCTCTGATTGGTTATGAAAAATAGAACATCTTTAATAAAGAACAGAGCAATAATTAACTTCCTCACATAAAGGACAAAAAATGCAAATGGCATGAACACCGAGATGACAAGTGCAAACATTTTTGATTACTAGATCATTGTTTCAATCATAGTATTTTTTAAATCTAAAATCACTGTAATAACACTTTGCAAACATGGCAAATCAAGTAATTATTTTCTTAGATGCGCACAAAAAAACTGGGACTTGTTTCTGATAATAAAGGACCAGAATAACAAATAGAAAGTGAGCAAGGTTTATCTAAAAAAGCTCAGTTGCCTTGTATAACCTGAAAAGCATTTCTGCATTACCTGTCTGAAGTGTCAGTGTCAGCATCATCAAATTGTCCTGGGACTATCAAACTCATAATTTCTTCTCTGTAATTCATTACTGTTGTTACAGGATCTCCGATACCCTCCTGTGCTGTACTCCCAGTCTTCTATAAAGTATTTTTATATATGGATGCTATAAATAGAAGCACATTGTACATTATAATGTATATGGTATATAGATATATATGGATTACACAACATTGCAAGTGATGCCTTACGCAGCAGATCCTAATTCTGCATGTTCTGAGTTATGTGTAACTACAACACAATATCTGTGGATAACCAGTCGAATGTAACTCACTATATAAGCTGCCTATTAGGCACGAAGTTTAATGCAAAACATTTAATACGTTTAATTTGTACTAAAGAGGATTTTATGCAAGTGAAATTCAGGCATTTTTTTCAGGCAATAAAATAACTTACCCTGACTATGTTTAAACTTTGTCTGAAGTGGCTTCACTCTTCAAGGGGAAAAAACCCCAACATGAAATTCCCCCCTCCCTTCCAACCAGCCTTTGGCGTCAGGAACCTCTGATTCTGGAAGCCATTCCCAAAGAAAGCATAACAGAGATTGGTGGGCAGGATATGATAATTAAGGAGCTCAAGGACTTCATTAAGGACTTCCAGTTTTTCAGTGTCCATTGCATTTGGGTGAGATAATAGCAGTAATAATAATCTGCTGCCAAGCAAGAGGCATAGAGATGATCACGTTTTCCCTTTATATTTCACCAACTTTATTCCAACACTGGAAATACTTATTCTTCCTTCATTTTTTCTTCAGGAAGAATAAATGCCGGTATATATTGAAATCATACTAAAGCAACCATAAGAATTATTTTTAATGAAACCTGAAGGAGAAGCAACATAAACCACCTTTTCAAAAAATTAATTTCTTTTTCTCTGGCCTACAATATTCCATCTCCTTTCCAAACCTATTCATACTTCATTCATAGTTCAAGCTGATCAGCTTGCACCGATTTCAACAAAGTTCAGTTTTTGTCTCTGCTCCCAATACTCAGCGCGTGTCTTCAGAGAATTGGCATTATGTCCCAAAGGCAGTCTTGTCATTCCTTTTAATACAAGCCAATGTTTAATATCCCCAGCAGTGTACAATGGAAACCTGTATCATAAAACCATTATGCCATTCATATCGTTTGCACCTGGATTCCAATAAAATGCATTTCACAGCATAATGTGTGGAACAGTGTTAACCCGCATACAATATTTGGAAGTTGAGGTTCTCTGCGCTAGTGATTTACAGGCCATTGCTATTGTGACTTGTAATTAGCCAGACTTCTTAGTATCACAGTGTGTGTGTGTGTGTGTGTGTGTGTTGTGTGTGTGTATGAATGTATGTGTGTGTGTGTGTGTGTGTGTGTGTATATATATATATATATATATATATATATATATATTATATACACACACCACACATACATATATATATATATATATATATACACACAAGTCTTGGCATATTCGGGTCTTTTCCCATGTAAGATTGAGAGTATTTTGGCGACGTTTTGACGAGGTCCCACTCGTCATCTTCAGGCTTCGACGTCGAAACGTCGCCAAGATACTCTCAATCTTACACAGGAAAAGACCCAAATACGCCAAGACTTCCATACCTGTACCCCCTAAAAATCTACGGAAACAAATATATATATATTGCTCAAAAAAATAAAGGGAACACAAGCAGAAGACATCCAAGATCTGAATGAATGAAATAGCCTTATTAAATACTTTGTTTTTTACATACAGTAGTTTATACACTGCTCAAACAACTAAAGGGAACACAAAACTACTGTATGTAACGAACAAAGTATTTAATATGGCTATTTCATTCATTCAGATCTCGGATGTCTTCTGCTTGTGTTCCCTTTATTTTTTTGAGCAGTGCATATATATATGTCTTTTTCGTAGGCTTTTATGTGCATATTCTTTCTAGCCAGGTTTTACCTACGTAAACTAAGTTTAAACAACCAGAGCTGCAGAACAACTTAGTTTACGTAGGTAAAACCTGGCTAGAAAGAATATGCATATATATATATAATGTATGTATGTATATATAAATATGTGTGTGTGTGTGCGCGTGTATTATATATATATATAATGTATGTGTGTGTGTATACACACACACACATATATATACATATGCTTATATATATACATACATACATACATACATTTATACATATGCTTCCCAATTTAGTATCAGCTCTGGGATCCTATCAGGGGATCCCCGGGTTGAGACTAAATTGGGAAGCTGGGGGAAAAAACCATTCTGGAAGGCAGCAAATCACTTCCGCCAATAAGACTTGTCACCAAGAGACGAATTTGATCGACATAGTATTATGTTTATTCCGCTTTTCAGGACCGGGGGTGGCGGGGAGCTTTCCAAGGGAGTTCAAATAAGAAATTAAACTACAGGGTAGCATTCATTCATTTCCAATGAATGGAAAAGCCTAAGAGCGACCCAAAATAACTTTAACGTCCAACAGATCACAAAGTGCCGAAGCCAGTGCGACCATTCTCTAAAAGCAGGCTCGCTGCCGGACTCCCTGCGCTCTTCACACTGCCAAGTATTTTAATCCAGCGCTAAAGCGCACCGTACTCACCAGCCTCGGGACTGGCTCGCCCGGAAAGATTCCGACCCACGAGGTCGGAACCAAGACGCCTTTCGGACTCCAAGCGTCACAACCTGCGAGCTACGGTTCCTCCAGAGGCTCACGCGCGGTCGTTTACGAACGCGTTTCCCGAACCGCAGCTGAGACGTATCGGATGCTTTCGTTGAATTTGCGGATGACACATTCATTATTTTTGGCGAGAGCTTCGAAAGCCCCTTCATCCTGGATTACTTAAAATTAGGGAGCTTCCCCCAAATGTGGATTGCAAATATCCGAAGGAGCGCGAAATGGACTAAAGAGTTATTTCTTGCCATCTCGTGGTCATCTGGGGCTTTGCAGTCCGACGTAATTGGGATGAAGAATATAGATGCCTGTTATTAAATTATTATTATAATGACACTTCAATAAAAAATTTTAAAAAACGGGAAAACGGGAAAACATTTTAATGAAACGTCGAGTGCTTTAATTTTTGAATACTCAACAGAATTCAGGATTACATTGTTTTGGGTATAAGTGCAGTGTGAAATAAATATATTTTATGGGTGATAAAATATAAATTATACATACATACATACATACTGTGTGTGTGTGTATACGCATACATATATACATATATATAAATATATTTAATATACTATAAAATATTTTTTGTTGACAATAGTTTGACCATCATGGCATATGTCATCTGTGATGTTAATATCCTTACTGAGCCATAATTTACTCAACCCTGTTTGGGGGTTTGCATGACACTCAGAATCATAATTGACAACAATGATGGACTGGATTTACTTGGTTACATTGTAGTTCAGGGAGTCAAAGCTGAACACATGTTGACACTTCTGTTTTCCGCATAGGAAGCAGTCAACTGTTGTTTAGTCAGATAATTGGCTGTACTATCTCTTGGAACACTACTGCAGAAGTATCTGGAAATTTACAATTTGGAAAGTTTTCTCAACATGGGTTAAGAATTCCACGCACCCCTCATTTTAGAAACCCTTCAATTCCCCCCCCCCCGGGCGTTATTAGCAAGGCCCAGTAGAATAGAGTTGAATATATAACATAAAACAGTATGGAAAATTGCCAAGCATCAAAACTATTTTTAAAAAAATGTTTTAAAACCTGTGTTTGCCATCTGGTAAGGAAGCCAAACTGGAGCAGCAAATATGGATAAATAAGAATAAAGGATTGTAACCATTGTGATTTCAGAGAAGCTCCTTCTTAACAGACAGTCCAGCTAAATATTGGGGTTAAGGGACAGATTTCACAGCTGTGGCCTAAACATAAACTAGTGTGGTAAAATTCTGGTCTGCAAAAAATTTGGAATACTAGTTGGCAGAAAAATGATACAGGTTACAGAAGCCTCAGTCTAAACTTTTATCTAGGGGTGATTCAAATTTGATAGCCTCATAAAAGCACCTCAAAAATTAAGCAACAAACATGTTCACTATTTGCTACCATGAAATGTAGTGCTAGCTATCACTTTGGCTGGCATCAAAAAAGGGTTGGACCAATTCATGGAGGCGGTGTAACTCCCTCTGAAGGTCATCTGCTGGAAGACTTAGTAGGCTTCCCTATGCAGATGATTGCCTACTGTGAGACAGACTTCTGGACTAGATAGGCACCTATCTCCAGCGGGGCATTGCTTATCTTCTGTTCTTACAAATTTTATAGCTTCCAAGCAGCCAATGCTTCAGCCAAGGCTCAGACCTTAATTTCAGAGTCAACTTGGTCAATATTGGGAATCATCATTATAATGTTTCTATAATCCAAGCACTACAATGATCTTCAAGGTCTAAAAGCCCATTTCTTGATTGCATCCCGCTAATTTTGAAAAGCTCAATAAAGTCGGATCTCAGGGCTATGCAAATAGAAGACCAACAAGAAAATCCAAACTCATAGCCAAGACTGGGAAATCAGAAAAAATATATATCCAGAAGCAGTAATAGGAAACATCTCTGCTAAGAATTTTACAAAGTCCAATGTCTTTGAAGTCATAGGAACCAGATTTGACTGGAAAGAATCCATTTATTTATTTATTTATTTATTTATTTATTTATTTGTTTGTTTGTTTGTTTGTTTATTTATTTATTTATTTATTTATTTATTTGGAGGGAAAATAGCCTGGTACCTTTACAGTACTTTGCAAATGTTTGGCCTGGATGAAAGACAGGATATATTCAGGATGATCATCTGGATAGCCAGCTGAGTGATTTTGAGCCAGTCACTCTTTCTCAGCCCAACCCACCTCACAGGGCTGTTGTGGGGAAAATAGGACGAGAAAGGTATATTGGATATGTTTACCACCTTGAGTTATATGTCTAAATAATAAAGACAGAATACAAATAAATAAAATAAAAATGAGCAGATGATTTGGGTAGCCAAAGATATTGTTTGACCAGAAAGCCTCTGTTCTTACTTCAGTGCATTTTGAGCAAAATTAATTAAGTGTTCCACACTGGAATCAGTGGTAGGTTGCTACCAATTCGCCCTGGTTCAGGCAAACCGGTAGCAGCGGTGGTGGGAGGTTCCACCCATCTGCCCAGACGTCATCAAAAATGTTCTGCACATGCACAGAAACTTCTGCACATGCCTAGAAGTGCCATACACATACAGAAGTGTCATGCATGTGCAAAACACACGTGTGGAAAGCGTGAGTGCGCTCCTGCAGCGAACTGGTAGCGCCGGGAATTGACTGGAATGTGTCAAGAGTATAATTTACGCTGAGGTGCAGCCCAGCCCCATTCAAGAGAGTCTATGGAGCTTGTGGGTGCATGATTTGGGATGCCCCTGAAGTTAATTGTACAAAGAAATATCTTCGGTGGCAAAGGTTAATTGATGTATGGATTGACTAGAATGAGATTTTCCTGTGCAGAGAACAATCATTTTTATTTTCTTTCGTTGTTGTTTCTTTTGGTGGGCAAAATGTCCTGATCGGAGAAATAGTTATGTTCTATGCTTAATTTTAAATGATGTATTTATATTAATTTTAAATTGAAACTACTTAGAATATGTACCACTTTCAGCATTTTCTGCTTTAGGAGGGGATCTGCCCTCCTCTGTCTTCCCTCCCTTCTCCAAGATGGAGTAGGCAGATCTGGGGTTGTGTCTAGACCGAGCACAAAGCCTAAACCTTAATAATTTTGAATCTCATTCTGAGGCCCTCTCAAAGTACAAGTAGTGGGCTTATTAGGGGCTCTGCTCCATGGAAAAGGTGCCCCACTGATGCTACTGCCCAAAAAATGGGGGAGAGGCTCCTTCTCTTATCTGCTCACAGCAGCAGCCTGGAACACAGCTACTCCTGGGCAGTGGCTCTGGGTGGGGCAACTGAGCCATTGATAAGCAGGTGGGGCCTGGAAGTATCTTTCTTACTGTCTGGAGGCTGAAGAAGGAATGGCTGTCATCAGCCAAGTTTAGACCTATTTGCCTAACTAAATAAAAGCCACAATTGACTGGTTTCACTCAGCACAATAACCCTAACCCATAGTTTATAAGTTGTATTTGACATGTTTCCATGTCAAATACATAATAACTAACTATGGTTTAATTGACTAAATCACAAATGGCTGGATTGACCAACTCCTGCCTGCTGAAGGTGGACAAATCAATTTAATCCTGTTCCCGATGAACAATGTTGCTTTGCCTTTTTCTCTTTGGTAGGCATAATCTCTATCTAGTTGATAGAAAGGCAAAAGTGGCCACCATCTCAAAATAATCTGATTTTACTTGTGCAACAATAGTCTGCAGATTATCTGAAGGGATATTAAGAAGGGGATGAGGGATTGCAGAGGAGTTTCTGCTCAAGAAAAATTACCTCATAAATATGTCATTTCTATAGTTGTTACCATTTCATTATTTTACCATTTCATTATTTTACAATCTTCCAATGCATGTTTTGCTCTGAATTCTTTCTGTTTCTCATTGAAATGGTTGCACGTTCTGGAATTTATCCTGACTGTGGTTTTGCCTAAAAAAACTATCCCTCCGGCATAGGTAGGACTATCAAATCTGGACTACAAAAATCTGGATGATACTAGATGACAGTAAGAATAGAAAACAGTAGATCAATGTTTCTTAAATTGTTTGACCCAATGACCCCTTTCCCCCAAGCCCAAATAATGTTATTATCACACACATACACACACACACACACACACACACACCATCACAGACTCTGTTATTTTACACAAGTGGCTTAGCAGTAGCATCCCACCTGGATCCTAGACCTAGAAACAAGCACAATTACAAATTATATCATTACTGTCAGGAGAGGTCCAAATTACCCCCAGTTTAAGAACCACTAGACTAGATGATAGCAAAATTTTCAGTATCTCTGTGTTCACCATTTAATGGGTATTTAGATTTTTGCAGTCCAGAGCTAGATGGGACAATTTAAGTAAAGACAGTGGTGGAGAATTAATTTACAGTCTAAGATCTATCTTAGGTCACTTGCTATACTGACATCAGCTGACCATAAAAGATGTCAGAAATGTGCAATGTAAAATGTTCAGTACTGTACTGGAGTGGGTTTTTTAAAATATAACTGTTGCAAGAAAATACAATTTAGCCTGCCTTTCTGTAAATGTCAGGAACCTTCAAATCCTCCAGAGTTCAGGAGGTCATGAAAATATTTGCATTATTGTCATTAGCCCTATAGACAATTGTTAATATCAAGAATACAAAGAAGCAGGAACCTGGCACTGCTACCACATCCCAATGTTTGACTCTCACCATAAGAGATTTCCTAGAGCAACTGCAAAGCTAGAAAAGCACAGAAGAAGACCATATTTTGCTAGACCGCTTTGACAGTGGTGGTGCCTAATAAAAAGCAAACTGAGAAATATCAGATAGGCTGATTGGAGAAAAGATGACGCTTTAGAAGCAAATAGGATTCTTTTTTTTATTTTTATTTTATTTTTGAATAAGGTCAGCAAATGAAACAGAAATTCTAGGTATCCCCAGTCCTTAAAGAGTACTTTTGTCCATTAATTTCCATGGGACTGAAGAGGGTGCTTCAACAAGTGCCAAAAATGTTAAACTTTTCAGAAAGAAAATTTAATCCAGGATTCCAACTTCCAAACCCAATGTAGGTTTTTTTCCCCTCACAGTCCCTCTCCCTGACCACCACCCCCTCTCCCAAGATGTGTTCACTCAATATACTGAGATGTACCATAAGGTTTAATCTAATACAGGGGTGTCCAATCTTTAAGACTGAGACATGTTGGCTGGGTAATTCTGGGAGCTGAAGTTTACAGATCCTAAATTTGCCAAGGTTGGACACTCCTAATCTAATCTAAAGTATATTTCAGGATTACTGGGTAGAATGAACCCAGCTAGCTGTAGTTTATTTCATTTAAACTAAAGTATGATGCATGAAATTAGTCAGTGGCAGCCATTCCCTTTCATGCCTGGGAAATAGACTTCTGCTTGCTTATCAGGGACCTAGCCGCCCAACCCAGAGCCACTGCCCAGGCACTGAGACAAGCCTCCCCTTGCTACGAATTCTTAGGGGAACTCTGCTTCTATTCAGCCTTGTTAGCATAGTCCTGAATCTCATCCTCATCATGTATGCTTTATAGCTGGTGCCCTGCAGATCATGCACATACGTATCCACAGAAATAGTGATGGGGGAGCCATTTGTGTTATCTGTGGCCCTGAGGGCAACTTATAAAGTGTTATGATCATGAACTGGGAATAAGGCAGGGGAAAAGGTAATACTAACATTTTGTCATGAAGTTGTAGGGACTCTGTTGATGACTGAAGACAGGCGTTAGGGATATGTGGGCAGGTGAAGAAGTTTGTCCCCCAGAAATATCTCCTTGTTGTATTTATTTGTTGTATTTATTTATATTTCAGATTTCTAAACCATCCATCTCCTTCAAGGAGGGACTCTGGGCAATGGTGCTTGTGCAAAGAAGCATTCCTCCTCTGTATAGCCAAAATTCCCCAAGTGAGATTCTCTTCTTTCCACTCCATACTTTGCACTCACAATATCTTAGATAATTGAATTGGGATTAGTGCAGAAAAGAGAGGAAAAATAGGGTTTGTGGAAGTGATAGTTTATCCCCCCCCCCCCCCCCCCGCTAGCCAAGGGACCTCCTCCCAGCCTTAACAAGAGCCCTTTATTCCTCAGTAATGGATAAAAGTTTCTAAAGGGGATTATGGGAGAAGAATCAGAAGGGCAAGAGGAGCTAACTCTTCCAGTCTGAATCACATTTGCATCCCCATAGACTGACTTTCGCCTCTGGAGTCTCTTGTATTACTGCTCTTTGAATCCTCCTGGCAGTCCTTAAGGGGTCACCATGTGATTTCACCAGTTTTATGATTATTATTTTTTTTGTGGTAGGCATCAACCAAATACCATGTTAATTAAATCAACAATCTCCAACATTTCCAGTGGAGGAGAGGCAGTGGTGGCGATGGGGGGGAGGGAGGGATGGTTTCACACACCACTTTCATAAATGTAGCTTTGTGAGCACACATGCACATGCACGCACTGGCCCATCACTTCCGTGGTCCTGTTCTGAATGGGCTGAGACCCAGCACAAGGCCACAGACCGGGGATTCCTGCATTAAATAGTCTGTTTTCCCCAGTTGCACCTTTTTTGCCAAAAACTGGAAGTAAAAGTCAAGGTCACATATGCTGCAAGATGCTGCAAACGGCCATAAATGCAAGCTGGTTATCCCGCACTCAAATGCAATCATGGAAAACCATGGAGGGTGCAGCCATCAGAACTTTGAAAACAGGTCATAAGTAGCTCTGGGGAGATCCATGGTAACTTCCAATGGTCGCTAAGCAGCAAGTTGTTAAGTGAGGACTGCCTGTAATATTTTGAAGGAACCAGACCAAGGAGAGGTTTTTCAAAACTTGTGTCTGCCCTCGCTTTCTTCTGTAGTGTCACCATCTTCTAGTCATGCTTAGGTATTGCTGTCTTCTTCCTTGGAATCACATGCCTGATGTCAATCATCCTGACAATCTTCCCATTATATAAAAATGGCTATGGGGATAAGGAAGCCTTTCATGAGAGCGAAAGAGAACCAGTTACTGATTAAGGTGCTGCTAGAAACCAGGAGACTGTGAGTTCTAGTCCTGTCTTAGGCATGAAAAACTGGCTGGGTGACTCTCTCTCACACCTTACAGGCTTGTTGTTGTGGGGGAAAATAGGAGAGGAAGGAATATTATGCAGTTCACTATCTTACTTATAAAGTAATAAAGGCAGGATAAAAATCTAATAAAATAAATAAATGTCACATGCATTAATCTTGAGGAGAAGGACTAATAATAATAATGGCTGAGAAGGACCCCTCTTATCCTTTTTGTTGGCGCTACAATTATTTCCGAGAGCAACCTGCAAGGCAAAAGAGCACTGAAGGTAAATGCAGGTAATCCTCAACTCGGATGCAACTCTTCTAAGCCACAGGTTGGATGACAGACTTGAATGCAAGCCAAGGAGGCGCTGAATGGTCCACTAAAAGTTTCCATGGACCTGGTTGTAATAGCCATATTTATTATTACAACTTTTTTCATAAGGTAAACAAAACACTTGTTTTGCATTTCTTGGACTTTCCATTAGTTAGTTAAAGGGATTTTATTGCCATGAGTGCCAGTTTGAAGAGACAGCTAGGATGTAAACAAACAATACCTTGGCTTCTTTCAACAACGTAATGACACTTTTTAGCTTCCTTCTATGCTCTTTTCTCTGAATATGCAGAAAATTACTTATGTACTACTTTATACATATAATACCTTCACTAAGTTCTGAGTAGCTGCATGCCCTACAGAGACAGCATGAAAGCTGCTGTAAGAGAGAGTGGGCAATCTATCCCTGAAAGGATTTGTGCCTTTCTGTTTAACAGCAGATAGCCATATACAAGAATCTCCTTTGGTCCTTAATAAATTGTACTGTATTTCAACTAACTTCAACTCCACTATTTTGAAACAAAATTTTTGTTATTCTTCTCTGCAATCTTTCTAGAGTCTCAAGATCTTTTTTATATTGTGGCAAGCAAAACTGGATGCAAAGAATGCCTAGGTTCTAAAGGACTCAACCCAAAAGAGGATAAGATGTGTGGGCCATTTGAAGTTATACCAGCAAGAATGCTAAAAAGAAACAGCTGCACACTTCATTTCATACCTTGATATAGAGTATGAGGCAAAGAGGAACAATTCTCCTTTAGTCCTTTTAAGATAGGCTCTAGGAGCTCTGTTTCCAAACCATGTTAATCATGGAAGACCACTACAAATTCAAGGCAGATTACTGTATTTGGAAGTAATGGGGCATGTCTGCTTTTGCAAAAGTAGGGCTATCATACCTGGGCTGCAAAAATCCAAATGACTCTTAGATGGCAACAAAGAAATAGGGTTTCTTTGCTGTCATTTGTCAACATCTCAGCAGTCCAGATCTGGTAGTTCAAGTTTCTGTTTCCACTATAAGTGAGCATTTGTTTTCCTCCTAGGATCACCCCATCAGATAAGGTAGCCCCTTCCAAAGAAAGGACCTGACTTTTCCATTGAAGGACGTCACATACCTAATGATAAAGAAACTTCTTTCAATGTATCCCCCAACACACTCATCATGGCTTCATTCGTGCAAAATGCTGAACCATAATGTAACTGTTTGGGTTTTGTGCTCAATGCTATGTTGCTTGTAACTTACTGAATAGGGACACTATAGTCAATGAAATATATTTCTATTTGTGGTGACTTATTTAGTGCAGTATACGAGGCAACCGATGCTGGTTTCCATGCTATAGGTGAATCCAGCCAGTGGCATCCATTCATTCTGGGCTTAGTATTTAGAAAGAGACTTCAAGGCTGCTGTGCTGCTTATCAGGCTCAGCTGCCCCACCCAGAGCCACTGCCTAGGGGCAGCTATGTCCCTGCAGCTGCTTTATGTAGATAAGAGGAGGAGCCTCTCCCCATCTCTTGGCTGCTGCTGGAATTGGGCATCTTCATCACCCCCAATGAGCAAAGCCCCCCCAATTGAGGGAGGGGGGGTGAGTAGTTTGAAAAAAAAAAAAAGCTCCAGGAGAGGATATTTTTCTCTCATCAATAGTAGAAGGACCCATACTCAATGGACAATGTCTCAATAATTCCAGCTCTGCAATGGCTGGTTGTACTTGGAGATGGGGCTGGGTGGGGGGGGGGGTGAGGAATAGGATGACTTGTCTCCAAACTAGACTTTCGTCCATACCCCCCAAACTGGATTTGCCTTCATGGTCTGAACTCACTTCAACTGTCCCTCTCTTTGAGAGAGACTAAGGCTCTGTCAAACCTGCTCTCCTCCTTCGTCCCCCACCCCTAATTTTCCCAAACCCCGTTCTCCAGCAACTCCCCATCGCGGTCTCTGACGGGGCTTCCTGATCTCTTCTGACGTGGGGGGGACGGGGACACTTCAGGGTAGACACGGGGGCTTCCCCGTTGGGGGAAAACCGCACCATTTCCAGACAGAGGGGCACGACGGGGTGGGATGATGGCTTAGGACAAGGCGGGGGAAGAAGACCAAGCGAGAGGCTGGGATCCCCTCCGGAGAAAGCTCGCCAGCGCCTTTACCCCCCCCCCACCCCGTGAGGAGGGGTGTGGTGTCTTGGGCGGGAGGGGGAAGGCGTGCTCGGCTGGGCCTCCCCGGCCTGATAAAAGGGCAGCCCGGCTGTCGAGGGCACGAACCTGCCAAGATGGTGCTCACCGAGGAAGACAAGGCCAGGGTGCGAGCCAGCTGGGGCACTGTGAGCAAGAATGCCGAACTCTACGGATCTGAGACCCTTTCTAGGTAAGCCGCTCCCCTCCCTTCCTTCCACTTGCGGCTTGCGCGAAGCTGGCCTGGGCGATGCTGCTGCTGTTGCCCCCGGGGCTTCCCTTCACTCTCCCTTTTTCTCCCCCGCAGGTTGTTCACCGTTTACCCAGCCACCAAGACCTACTTCCACCACTTCGACGTGAGCCCCGGCTCCAGCGATCTCAAGAGTCACGGCAAGAAAGTGATCGACGCGATCACCGAAGCCGTCAACAACCTGGACGATGTGGCGGGAGCCCTTTCCAAGCTCAGCGACTTGCACGCCCAGAAACTCCGCGTGGATCCCGTCAACTTTAAGGTGAGTGGCTTTCCCCCGGCGGAATCGGGGTGCCTGTTTCACCTTTCCCTTCGGGGGGCCGGGGGAATCCGTGTAGTCGTCTCTCCGCCCGGCGGCTCGGGGCGGGCTATGCTCTGCCTTCTCTTAACGGCACCCCTCTCCTGTCTGCAGCTGCTGGCCCACTGCCTCGAGGTAACCATCGCCGCTCACAACGGTGGGCCCCTCAAACCCGAAGTGATTTTGTCCGTTGACAAATTCCTTGACAAAGTCGCCAAGGTGCTGGTGTCCAGGTACCGTTAGAAGGAAAGTGCACGCCCTGCCTGTGCTCGGAAATAATGGCCCTCTTCCTCTCCGGTCTCTCTCCTACTTCCTGGATAACCTTGCCAACATCTCTTGCCTGCATGTCTTCTACTCTGTGGGGTTCACTTGTGGAACCCTAATTTGGGTGTCTCCTTGGAGCCTGAATTGCTAGTTGTCCTGCAGCTGAATTGACCAAGCCAAAGTCTGAGCTCTCTTGCAGTGGGACTGAGCAACTGAAGATCTAAAGGTGTGGATGATTTATCAACCACCCTAATGTCATCCACCACCATTAATTTCTGAGCTGGTTCTACTTCCACTGTTGTGCAAACTATTGTTTCCATTGCTTTCTCTCCCTTGTTGAATCTGTCTTCATTATTACAACAAATTAATAAAAGCACAGGAAAAGAGGTGCAATAGCCTTTTTCGGTGTCTGTCTAATGTTCCAAGTTGTTCTGTTGTGTTGTTGTTAGTACTGCATGTGCTTCTGAATGGGGCAGAAAACATTTGTCATCTTGATGTGGGTGGGCACTTTGTAGAAGAGGAGTCCCGTTGCTGTTTTTTCAAGGCAGTATGAATGAAATGGCTCAAATGTATGCCCTTTGTTTGGGAATGTGTGTGGCAACTTCTTAGAGAATTTGGGAAAAGCTTAAGCAAATTAAGCCAAAAGCAATACTTGGGTTCGCATAACATTGTAAAACTTAAACTCAGGTTAATCAGAGTAAATAGTCGGAGTCAAATAACAGCAATACTCAGAGAAAACATATCATGGCTAAAGATAATTGTCTGATTCACACAACATGGTAAGATGATGACTGGGTTCCTATAACTTCCCATCAACTTATTGTTGATAATAACTAATTATGAAAATGTAGTTTTTGATCAGCCTAGCTCAACGACAGTATGTTTATCTCAAGCACATTAGTTATAACAGCATTTTCTGGAATATCCAGGCAAACCTATTTAAACAAAGGACTGTAGGAACTTTTAACCATCATTTTTTGCAGTTGGACTTTAAATAACAGGCATCCCTCTAAGCAGAGCTTATGCTGGTAGAGCTTCTCCCAATGTTCCTACATTGGTGAATTCTAATTATTTGGAACATGGAGCTCATGTTCCAAAGAAGATGTTCAAAAAAGAAATTTTGAATAAGAAAAGATGTGGCAGTTTGAAGTGTTTGTGTTCATTTTATAACAGTACACCTAGAATGAAGGTGTTGTAGTACAAAGACGTTTGTGGATTAGCTGGGAGAGCCTAGTATTAGACTTGGTGCATTCTAGAATGGGATAGATTACAAAGTGGAAAGAAACAATGGAGTCCTAGCAATATCTGGACATTACTGAAGATAATTCTTTAAAAGTCTGTTAGAATTATATCTCACCTTTCCTCCAGGAGTTGTTTACACAGGGAACTCCCTTCATTTTATCCCACCATAGTAGGGATGCTGTGAAATAACCTGGGCTGAAAGAGAGTGAAGGGACCAAAGTTACACAGTTTCTGTGACGATGTGGAAGCTTGAACCTGGATCCCGCTGATCTTCCTCCAGCAACTTAACTACTGTGCCTTTTTTAGGAGTTGATGTGGTGCAGTGATTAGAATGCAAGTATTGCAGACTAACTCTGCCCATTGCCAGGAGTTCGATCCTGACCAGCTCACGGTTAACTCAGCCTTCCATCTTTCTGAGGTTGGTAAAATGAGGAGCCAGATTATTGGGGCAATATACTGACTAAACTGCTTAGAGAATGCACTATGAAGCAGTGTATAAATACTATTGCTATGTTTTACAAGAGAAATTGGAGGAGGGGAAATGGGGGGAAGTATTGCAGCTAGTTAAACAGAGAAGCAGAATACAGTGGAGATGAAAAACCTACAGACTTCTGTATTTTCAGCTGTATTTCCAGTAGGAGAGGTATTTCAAAGACTTCATAATTTGTAACACTGATCAGTTTGGTGCTAATAGAATTGTCAGAAATAAATTTCATGAAGATGAGAGGGAAGCATAGGAGGGTATCAGGAGGAAATGGCAGAAATGTCTTTTGAAGGGGAAATCTTGTCTGATCTTTTTCTAGAAATGGGTTGCAGGTGAGTTGGCTACAGTATACCAACTATACTTCTATACAAAAAGGCTTTAGAGGGAGCAAGAAAATATCTGTATTCCCAACAAAGCAAGTCCTGTGATCCCACATCTCATTATTCTCAAAATCTTTCCGTCAAAACTTATAGAGGGCTATTACTAGCAAAGATAATACTGTAATACTTGTAGATTTGGTTGCAATACTCCCAGAAAAAGGGAGTCAGTTTTCAATGGATGTTTTTTAGATAGAAGGGGAATTTTTATACCACAAAGAAAAGAAAAGCAGTTTATTGACATAGGAACCAATTAAAGAATTAAGCAATTTCTAAAACTTGTTTACTGAAACAATTAAAGACAGCCTATTGACATAGGAACCTTTGACACTAAACTAATATCTTTGATATTCATTCATTCATTCATTCATTCATTCATTCATTCATTCATTCATTCGATAAAGCTAATTTGCGATCGACAATTTGCACAACATCGGGAGCTGTCTATGGAGATTCTCAGTCATCCAGGTCCAAAGGTGCTTTTTCAAGAGGGTTGAAGAAGCTTCTTGGATGAGAAGGAAAACGTCTTCAAAGAAAAACCAAAAAAGTCCAGTTGCCTCTTGAAAAAAAGCACCTTTGGGACAACATCGGGAGCTTAAGCAAACCAAAAAAGAAAAAGCAGTTGCCATTACTGTAATACCATGGCGATGACCCACCCTCTGCACAGTCAATTTATCTATACTGTACAATTTAGGCTATAGAAAGGATGCAACGTAGGATTTCGGGGGTCCGCCAGCCCACAGGATAAATGGATCGGAGGCAAATGTCTCCTTATGCCGGGATGCTGGATTTCCCTGACATTTCTCCGACGCCGTCTTTCACTGCTTACAGATACAGCTCGTTCCTCACCTCAGCAGCGAGAGAGAGGAAGTTAGCCAAAGAGAAATAACTTGGTTGAGCTGCCTTTGAATAGTAGTAGCTCGGAGTGGTAGTTATGTTGTTGGTTTGAGCTCCGAACTTGGGGATTTGGTTGCAAACGTTTCGACCCCATTCGATGAGGAGATATCTTCAGTGCGCCCTGAAGATGTCACCTCGAATGGGAACGAAACGTTTGCAACCAAATCGCCAAGCTCGGAGCTCAAACCAACAACACAACAGAAATAACTTGTGCTACTGGGGTTGGGGGGGTGTCGTTGTTGTTCGCGGAGACGGTTACCCAGATGCCGGGGTCAAACTTCGGCCAAGAGGAAAGCGTTGGAAAACGAATCAGGAGAAGGTCCAGCCGCCTATAGAAGGCGGGAAACCCCGAAGAGGAAAAGCAGCGCAGCAGGGCTGGAAGCGGGGTCCGCCTACCAGCCTACATTCGGAGAAAATGGTTCCCAAAGTGAAGGCGGGGCGGGGGGGGCTGGAGGTTTGCTAACTTTCACTGCGATAAACTTACTGAGGGGAATCGGGTGGCTGGGGAATTCTGGGAGTTGAAGTCCACCATTTTCAAGTCACCAAGGTTGAGAAACACCGAGGCCGCAGACTTTGAGCCATTTGGCCGGTTTGGCCTTTGCGCGCCGTTGTAATCGGCGACTAAATCCAAGCGGGTCTTGGCGGACGGGTGAGCTGCGGATCGCTTGAGAAAACGCGAGCGGGGAAGGAAGCCGGAGAGGTCACAGCAGCGGTAGGTAAGCAAGCGGGCCTCGCGCAGCCAGCCGAGGCGCTCTCAGATCCCGGGAAGGCTCGCCTGTTAAGAGGTTGCGGCATTTTTCCTGAGCCCGCTGTTGTTCTCAAGTTCCCAGGGCAACTTTGAAGCCGAGGACGTTGAATTGAGAGCGCTCCCTCTAGGTCGCCCGAAGCCATATCGATCTACCTGGTGAAGCTTAGAAAGAAGAGAAGCGGGCCAGCCAGGAAACACTGGCTATTAGGTAAAGAACGGGCACAGAAGCCCCTTGGATCTTTGGAGCTTGTTCCCTCCTCCAGTTTCGCCCTTAACCTCTGTCAGGAAGTCTCTGGAGGTGACTCCGTGTGTTTTGTGGCATTGTGTTGTGTTTTGCAGAGCAACACCCCAAGATGCCAAAGGAAACTCCCCCGCCTACATTTCCACTCTCATATGTTGGCCTTTATTACCAAGAGGTTGTTCTGATGGGGTATCGGGCCCTTAAATTTCCAGGAGAGTACAGATAGTCCTCGACGGCAACGGTTCATTTAGTGACCATTCAAAGTTACAATGGCACTGAAAAAAGTGACTTATGACCGCTTTTCACACTTAACGACGGTTGCATTATCTCCATGGTCACTTGATCAAAGTTAAAATGCTTGGCAACTGACTCATCTTTATGACGGTGGCGAGTGTGGTCACTTTTTGTGACCTTCTGACAAGCAATGGGGGAAGTCAGATCCACTTAACAAGAGTGTTGCTAACTTTAGAACTGCAGCGATCCACTTGACAACTGCAGCAAGAAAGGTCAAAACTGGGGCAAAACTGACTTTAACAAATGTCTCACTTAGCAACATAAATTTTGGGCTCAATTGTGGTCGTAAGTCGAGGCCTACTTGTATGCAAAAGTGCTTAGGAGAGTGGAATGGCTGGTACCAAAACACATTGAGAGGGAACGACAGCAGTTACCTCAAGGCCTGATCCTCTCTCTGGCTGCAGATCACAGATCACAGAAAAAGGACACACTGCAGTCTGTGATTGCACAAGTGAAAGGCTCTTGGTTGGATTGATGGCTTTTCCATGATACTGTAATGCTTTTTGCTTGAAGTTTCCTTGAAATGCTGCCTGATTCCACCCATCCATGATCCAACATAAAACTATACTAGTGTAATATTTGCTGCCTCCATTGTTCATCCCCATGCTGCCATAGGCATGACACCCTCAATTGATAGTCTCTTGTTTCCTAGTGGACAAGGAAAGAGTTTTCTCTAGCTTTGTTGCCTCACGTACACTTTCAGCTGATGAGGAAAAAAATCATCAGACTGAGATAATAGATGACCAAGCATTGCAGGTTTTACAGCCTTTGAAGCCGTGATAGGGTAGATATAAAATAAAAGAAAATAGGTAATAAAACCTTTCCTCTGCCAGCTTGCTTCTCTCAGATTGATTTTATGGCAAATCAATATTTAATTTTTGTAGACGTTTCTTTGATATATCCAAATTTACACATCAATAAAAACTGGACTCCCTTACTATGCATTTTAAGATAGTATAGATTTTACACACTTGAAACTATAATAGGACAGTAATGAAATAAGAAAGGTAATGCCACTGTTATACTGGTACAGCTGATGATTTAAGATTTTCTTACTTACAGGATGAGGATAAAATGAGAGCAACTTTGTGCAACCAAGGATTTATCAATATACCACCAAACTGGGTGGTAAAATTATATTGCCTTGAAATGTCATTGTCCTTTTTTCAGCCCCTATCTTGTTTCTACTGAGAGTCATGGCTGCAGTCCTTCCAAAGATTCTGAATTAAAAGGTCTAATGGCGAAAGAAGGGGTGGGAACTTGATTTTTGTACTAGACAGCTACAGAAGAACTAAAGGAACCTTTTTACTTGCATACTTCAGAGAGAGTTTGGCTTCTGTGTCTCCCAGAATTTGCTGGCAACACCAAGATTTATACATCCTCATAATGCCAGCCTTTTCCTGTGTTCAAACATGATTTTTAAGTTATCCGCCACACCATGGACAGAATTAATGGAGTAAAGTTTTAATTTTGGAAGGAGCTATTTAGGTCACTGAGTGTGTAGTACAGTAATCCATATTTTAATATCTCTGGCAAAAGATTTCCTAGTTTCCACTTGAACATACCAGCAAAAGAGAGCCCACTCTATCAGATAAATTACCTTTGCTGTTGAACTGCCTATTGTTGGGAAGTTTTTCCTACCATTCAAGTGGAATCCACCTTCTTGCAACAAAAATATTTAGCATTCTGGAACGCTGAAACATCTTTTTTAATGATGCTCTTTTTGTGATACTTGATATTATCATAGCCCCCCTCAGTTTTATTATCTTAAACACTAAATATTCCCAGTTCCTTTACACTATTTTTGTGATACTTGGTTTTCAGACCTTGGTAATTGTCATTTTTCTTCTGTGAATCTAATCCAGATTCTGTTAATGGGGAGACTAGAAACAAAGCTCTAATGCAGATTGAAGTAAAAATAAATTTTGTGTCTGTGTGTATTTCTTCTTCTAGTTAAAGACCCGATAATGTCTTGTGCATTTTGCAAAAATACCCAGTAGATGGTAAAACAGAGTAAGAAAGGCCAGATTACTGAACAATGACTTCTGATATAATGAGGACATCTTCAGGTTCCTTTGATGAATTGTTTCTGCCTTCTATCTGGAGCAGTGCATCTTGTGTCTTGAGCCCTAGTTAAATTAGGTGACCCAGTGCTTTATAAACTAGTCAATGCGTGTCCTAAATAAAGCCACATATATGTAGCAAAGAATGAAATTAATGTTCAGAATATTTCACAGAACATTGTGTAGACCTTATGAGGGGTTCTAATCAGGATAAATTTAAAAAGCCATATTCATATTTAACAAAATGTAAAAAAAACAAAAGTAGTGAACATCATGGAAAGCATACGGAAGCATTTTTGAAAAAGTATAATGCTTTATAGTTTAAAAGGAATTTTATTCAAAAGGAGGTAGGAGTGCAGTTTAGCAATGTTCTCAGAACCCACATAGCATAGCATAGCGGTTCATAGTCTTCTCAGTCAATTTGCTTCTCAGCGCAGCTCTCAATTCAAGCAAAAATAAGAGAAAAAAACGGAATAACTAAGTTTGTAAAGGGTGATATTTCTTGTAATATTTACTCATCTGATCCTACTGATCTCTTCTTTGTCTATGAAAAACAACAGCAATTACTTAATATCTTACTATCTAAATATCTTAGATTTAATATCTAAATACTTAATTATTTTCTACACTTTTCTCAGATTACATTCTAGAAAATATTTATATTCTTAAAAAAAACCCTCTTACTTAGCATGAAGTGAATTTGAAATCATTGTATATCCTACTTATTTTATCAGAAAAGGACTGAGCAGAACATAGGGGTGGAGGTCATGGCGGAGAATTAAGTCACTGTTAACCATATTCATCTACCAGCAATCCTAAATCACTAATAACAATAGTATAAGTGTCCTGTTGAACAATTCTACAGAGTTTACAAGAATGGAAAGTAAAGAATTAAAGAAGAGAATTTTTATGATGTTAAGGCCAACTGTCACTCTAAATAAACAAGAAAAAGTAATATGGAAAGAAATAAACCAATTGTAGTTTTAAACTTTTACAGAAGAAAGAAAGAAAAGGATGTGACTTTTAAAACCCATAATGTCAGTGGATGGAATGACTAGAGGGCTTTTATTTTTTTGTAATGGCACTCAAGCATGTGGTCAGGATATGTCTTAGTGGTTGGATAAGCATATCAATGTGGATATGCAGAAGTTGCAAAATCCTGAGGAAGATTTGGAATGTCTTGGAATCCCCTTTGGACAACCTATTGACACAGCAGTTTTGTTACAGCTGAAAGAACTGTGAAGAGTGGGACTTCCACTTCAGCCAGAGTAGAAGACCCGCTCTGTAACTGATGTTAGATCTGGTCTGAACTGAGCATGAATCCAACTGTCATTACCTGGGAAGAGTTTGAGCTTCTCAGTTCCAAGAAAGTGGTCAGAGTCCTCGGGTTGTAATTATGGCCACCTTTCTGTTAAATTAATGTCTCCCTTGACTGTTTAATTACATGTTAATGCCTTTGACATGTAATTGGATCCAGGGGGTAATGAATGTATCATTGAAGGAAGGAGTCATTTTGCTGGATCTTAAAAAGATGGTACAGTCTTTCTTCCTCAAGAAACCATCTCCACATCCAACAATTCTGTACAATTTTTGTTTTGTCCAACGTTTCTTTTTACTGATAGATGACCTGCATCAGGGCAGGTGATGCATCCATCCAGGCCTTCTTTAACCTCTTTAGCAGCTTTAGTACCATTAATTATGGTGTTTTTCTGGATTAGTTTCTAGAATTGGGAGTGTAGGGCATGGTGCTGAAGTGGTTCTCTTCCTTTTCCTATGGCTAATTTGTGTTGTGTTTTGGGGGGGAGGGGAGAGAGATTTAGCTTTAGACTCCTACTTGGGTGGTTTCCTCAGGTTTCTACTCTCTTTGCTATTATTTAACTTCTATAGGAAGCTACTAAATTAGGGTCCATCAGCACAGGACTAAGTATCATCAATATATGTAACCTTTATATTTCTACACCAAAACAATCATGTGATGCTGTCAGAGTTCTTTTCCAATGACTGGTTGGCAATCTAGGTCTTAATGGGAAAAGATAGTTCAAGCAAGACAGACTGGCTACTTGACTTCTCAATAGAGTAGCACTCTCTCAGATGGATCTGGTGTACAATTAGGAGTCTTAATCCATTTGTTTGAAGAACTGGTGGCAACTGAAGTCAAAAGACCCTTTTACACAGCCTCATCTTGTTATTCCTAGATGGGAGCGTTTCTGCTTATCGTCACTCACTTCCACACAGTATTTGCATCACACTGTATGGGGATTATTTTTTAAGACAAGATGGAACTTGTCTTCAGAATGCAGAGGTGCGAGTAGTACCATACCACTACTTTGCGAGATGCACTGCCTTTCTATAGACTTACGGGTGCAATTCCAGTCACTGATTATTATCTATTAAGCCCTTCATGGTACAAGGCCATGAGCTATAGTTTCTATGTCTCCCATCCCACAAGATCTGACAAACAGAATATACTTTAGGCGCCTCTAGGAAATAGCGCCATCTAATGGGACCTAAGAAATGTACCTTCACATGTGTGAGGTGAATCGCGGAGGCGTTTGGGTATTTGGAGCTGAAGAGGCAGCAGACGGCGCGCCACTCCTGTCTTCTGTGCTGAACAAGGCGGCACCAGTCGTGATCCTTAGCCTGCAGTAATCGCTGCCAGGCCGGGCAAAAGCCAAAATGGCTGATCAACTGACAGAAGAGCAGATCGCAGAATTCAAGGAAGCCTTTTCACTATTCGACAAAGATGGAGATGGCACAATAACAAAAGAATTGGGGACAGTGATGAGGTCACTTGGTCAGAATCCCACAGAAGCAGAATTACAGGACATGATCAATGAAGTAGATGCTGATCGTAATGGCACAATTGACTTCCCAGAATTTTTGACAATGATGGCAAGAAAAATGAAGGATACAGACCGTGAAGAAGAAATTAGAGAAGCATTCCGTGTATTTGATAAGGATGGTAACGGTTATATTAGTGCTGCAGAACTTCGTCATGTGATGACAAATCTCGGAGAAAAGCTAACAGATGAAGAAGTTGATGAGATGATTAGAGAAGCAGATATTGATGGTGATGGTCAAGTAAACTATGAAGAGTTTGTACAAATGATGACAGCAAAGTGAAGACACTGCACAGAAAGTGTTACATTTCTTGTACAAATTGTTTATTTGCCTTTTTCTCTGTTTGTAACTTATCTGTAAAAGGTTTTCCCCTTCTGTTGAGAGAGATGCTTGTATAGTAACAAACTCATTCCTCCATGTTTTCCCCTTTATCTGTCATCCTGATATTTTGGGAAAATGATCAAAGTAACAAATGTTTGCATGTGGCTTACTCTGGATATTTAAGCCCTTCCACACTTCTAAAGTTAGATGGTGTTGGTTAAATGAGAGATCATCTAGGTTATGCCTATGATGGAAACTTGGGAAAAAATATGGGTTAGAAATGTAAAATTTACGCAAGCATAAAATTTAAGAGAAAATTTTTATATTTTATAACATCTGTAATGTTTTACAGATGGCATTTAGATCCTAAAAAGTTGGCTTGTATGTATCCGAATTTGCAATCTAAGTGTTGGAGATGTGATTGTGATGATGCTACTTATTATCACATATGGTGGACTTGTAAAACAGTTAAAGCATTTTGGATTAAAATATGGTGGATTATCCAAAATATTCTTAAAAAGAAGATACAGTTTACTCCACAATTGTTTTTATTGGGTATAATCACAGATTGTACTGTTATAGAGACTAAATTGATTTTAAATTTAATAACTGCAGCTAGACTTTTGGTGGCGCAATACTAGAAGAAGGAAGAATTGCCTACTATTGAAGAATGGACATTAAAAGTGGCAAATTTGGCAGAAATGGCGAAAATTTCAGCATATTTGAAAGATCATTCACAAGAAAGATATATATCGGAATGGAGAAGATGGACTGATTATATTCAAAACAAATATTGAACTAAAAAGTATCAAATATCTTATGAATGAATAGAAAAGTTAAGAGTATGTATATTTAGTTAAGTAAAAGGCGAGTTAAAGTGTCGAGGGGGTGGGATAGGAATCTGTAGTTAGCTTAGCTTAACTTAGCATATGATTGTTAATTGTTTTACCCTGTATTTTGTTCTGGGAAGTCCGGGGGGGGGGAGGGGGGAAGGGAGGGAGGGGGGGAAGGGGGAAAAATATTTGATTTTTTTTTTTTTTTTTGTAAAACTTTTCAATAAAAAAAAAATGTACCTTCACTCTTCACTTTGGATGGTGTGTCCCTGCTGTCTTTAAATACTTGGTTTTTGTTTGTTTGTTTGTTCCCTTGGTTAGGATCAAAGATGACCCCAACTGGAAAATTGCTTTAGAATTGTTAATATATTTTGGGCCCTTTGGGGCCCTGTTTTCGTACTGTATTATGGTTCTTGTATGTTTATTGTTTACCTTTTTTGCTTTTAACCATAACGTAGTCACCCAGAGTTATATTTTGCAAGTGGGGCAACCATACTATACAAATCATTTAAATACATAAGTAAATAAATATTCTGAAATAATGGGAATCCCTTATATTCATTCTTAGATGTACTATGGAAACTAAGCAATCTTGAGTAACATGTCTTTATCCAATTTTGAGTAAGATGCTTTTACCCAATTTCATTCATTTAATGTAAAATAGAAACAGACTGTATTACACAGCTGTTGAAGGAAACAATAAGTGAGTTCATACATTTGTGCTAAATCATGGCTTATTTTAACTAAAGTTTGCCAAGTAATCCCCAATGACTGAGTTCACATATAACCCATGCTAGCTATAGCCCATAGTTTATAAACCAAACTGTCCAGCTTTACATAATGCATAAGCCAAAACTAGACAAATCACATTACTATTTAGAGAATGCATGAACTTAGTTATTTCCTTGTGTACCTGAAGCAGAAAGATAAAAAATAATCTTTACCATCAACAAGTTTATGGTTCATTATAGCTAATATTATAACTTCTGCTAAACAGTGCTGAATTGTGTTAATAAATAAAAACAGGTACTCAGACTAATCTTTTGTGTGTACAAAAAGACTATTTTTAAATTATTATATATTTTTGGAAAAGTTCAAAACATGAAAATATAGTTGTAGAAAATCAGGTGGCATATAAATGTAATGAATACCGGTAATAATGTATTAACTTGAGAACATTGATTTTTTAAAATTATCAATTATAATAGAAGGGCAAGTTCTTCAACTTTCTCTCTTTATTTTCCCAGCATACTGTCTCTTCTATCAATTTGCACAATTCCTAAATGCTTTTTTCACTACTTTCTTCAATCCAATTACTGTATTTGATAATATTCTAAACCACCTTTATAGTTGGTTTACCATATCCTCTGAACTCAGATAAAGGGGTCAAGTTAACACAGAACACCTTATTCACTAACAAAAACCTTGTTTTTCAATATTCAATATTTTATATCATCATGGCTAGTTGAATCCTCTCAGAAGATTGGACAAACTTCCACAAAGTAGATTTGCTTTGCTACAGCATCTCTGCTGTTTGCTCCTACTTTTTTGCCCCTTATTAAAAAACAAAGATCTGATTTTGAAAACACAGAGGCTGTAGTGTCTTGTTGATTTTTACAAAAACAGTCATCTCCCCCCTCCCACATCTATCATGTTAAATTTTGCATATTGTTAAACAGAAATCACATCCCAATCTTCCCTGATTTTCCTCTATTTTGTTTTTTCATTAAATACCCATTATGAACTCACCTCAAAATCATGCTCTTCAGATGATTTCATATTAATAATCATCTCTCTTAGAGTTGCTATCTCTTTTTTATGTTCTTGTAACTAGAAATTAATAATGTTATATATAAGAGAATGATCAGAATAGTGCAACCATTGGTTTTCCTTGGGATATTCCATGGAAGCAAAAGTTGGTGAAGCAAGATAGAAAGTATTGACGTTTTGAACTTTGGTGTTGGAGAAAATTCTTGGGAATACTGTGAACAGCAAAGTAAACAAGAAAACGGACCATCATATAAATCAGAGTTGTCACTCAAGGTGCAAATAACCAGGCTCAAATTATCCTACTTTGGACACACTAAGCCAAGATAACTCTCTGGAGAAGGACATAATGCTTGAAAGACAGAAGGAGCTTGCTGGGGTACTTTCTAATAAACAGGCAAAACCACAGTATAGAATTGGTCTCAGTACAGCCAAAATTTGATTTAATCTGAATTATGATATAAATTAAGATAATTACAAATAATATTAACTGTCATGCATTTAATACATTTTTGACTTTAGTAGCATTACAAATTAGAATTTCGTAGTGAGTTCTGGAAGAGTTATGGAGGCTACAACTGAAGTGTTAGAAGACACATGTGAACATAAGGTATCGATTACAGGCAGTCCTCGATTTATGATCATAATTGAGCCAAAATTTATATTGTTAAGTGAGACATTTGTTAAGTGACTTTTGCCCCATTTTATAGCTTTTCTTGCCACAGTTGTTAAGTGAATCATTGCAGTTCTTAACAAACCAGTTATTAAGTGAATCTGGCTTCCTTATTGACTTTACTTGTCAGAAGGTCAAAAAGGTGGGGACACTGCAACCATCATAAATATGAATCAGTTACCAAGCATCCAAATTTTGGTCATGTGACTTTGAGGATGCTGCAATGGTTATAAGTGTGAAAAATGGTCATCAGTCACTTTTTTCAGTGACATTATAACTTTAAATGGTCACTAAATGAACTGTTTAAGGCGAGGGCTACTTGTATGGACCTAGATCACTTAACATCATAAGTAACAAATACCCCTACCTCTTTTGCCAATAATTTTTTTTTAAATATCAGTCTCTTCATTTTTTCTTTTAATTCGGTTTCCAAAGAGGTAGTCATCATCTTCTCTACATAAGGCATAGTTCTTCCCTGACATCTTTCCTATCAAAAACAATCAATAACTCATATTGAAACACAAGAAGGTCTCAATTCTGAGAGCAGATAATTAATTTAAACATTCAGAAATGGTGTTGGTAGGAAATCTATTGCTGTGTTTGGTGTCTGATAGGCATTCAATACCAGTAGAAAAGTACATTCCCAAGCTGAGCTGCCTTTGCCCATTCACAAAATAGCTGCCAGAAAGTTTATTTGTGGAATATAAACTATTTAGGATGTTCCTTTCTATGGCCTTCACTGCCAGGGTTCCAAGTAACACCCCCAACGAAAAAAGTCTCGAGGTCAGAAGTTCCTCAGAGTTCCATTTTATTAGAGATGTCATATTGGCACATCTGAGAAAAATCCCAAATCTAAAAGTTTCCAGGTTTTCCTCACCCAAAAGAAAGTCCAAGTCTCTTCCCCCTGCACCCACATGTCCATTACATGGTCCAATCAATGCACTGTCCCAACTGGAGATGCCTCCCATTCACACCATTCCAGATGCAGGCTGGATGTCCTTGACTCTCAGAGAAAGGAATGTTGTTACGGCTAGATGTCTCTGCTACTCCACGCAATCCTCCCTCCCAGTTTGCCACAGCACTAAGCGTGGCAGCCCTGAAGACCCAAAGGAAAAAAATGGGCTCCAGGACTGACATTCATTTTACCTCTGACTTTTTTTTGGGACACTTTTTGTTTAAAGTATTGGGCTATGTAGTCGTTTAGAAATTTAATTTCCTAAGAATGCCTGTGGGACCAATAATAAGTCCTAATACTCCAGAAAAAAAGGATATTGCAGATAGGTGCATTGCAGGATTCTAGAAATGTATTATTTTAATGTATGCTGCTCTGGAAAAGGCCACCCCTTGTCAGTTTTTCTTTCTCATCATTGTATTGATAGAATTTATAATACAGCTAATCCTCAATTTACAACAGCTCAATTAGTGGCAAAGTTACAACGGCACTGAAGAAAGTGACTTATAATCATTTTTCACACAACAGTTGCAGCATTCCCATGATCACGTGATCAAAATTCAGATGCTTGGCAACTAGTTCATACTTATGACCGTTGCTGTAATTCCAAGGTTACCTTTTGTGATCTTCTGACAAGGAAAGTCAATGGGAAAGCCAGATTCACTTATAAACCCTGTCACTAACCTATCCACTGTAGTGATTCACTTAACAACTGTGGCAAGAAAGGTCATAAAATGGGGCAAAACTCACTTAACAAATGTTTCACTGAACAACAGAAATTTGAGGCTTAGTTGTGATTGTAAGTTGAGGACTATCTGTAATAAAAAA